GGGCATCGCCGGCAGCCTCCACAGCCACGTCACCCTCGACGTCGCCATCATGACCACCTCCACCAGCGCCAAGGCCGAGGAGTTCGAGGAGGTCCCCTCCAACTACACCTACATCCTCCCACCCCCGGGCACCGCCAACGAGACCGACGCCGTGCTGCCCGCCCTCGCCGTCAACATGGCCTTCGGCTCCCCCTTCGTCCGCGCCGACCTCGTGCCGCTCACCAGCTGCCCGCCCAACATCACCAAGGAGGTCTTCGGCACCAAGACCATTGGCCAGCCGCGCTCTTTCCCCTACCTGTACGTCTCGCGCGGCGTCTTCTCCGTCAACTGGGACGGCCAGCTCGATGATGGTACCTACGCCCCCGCGGGCAAGTACAAGTTCGCCGTCAAGTCGCTCCGCGTCTTTGGCGATGCGTCTAAGCTGGAGGAGTACGATGTCACTGAGACGCAGCCGTTCCGTATCCAGTACGGCGGTGTTAACCAGACTGCGCCTGCGAGACGTTGGTTCTAGATAATGTGATAATAGTCATGTCTCTACGACATTTTCCCTTTTCTTGTAAATAGCTTTTGAATCAGAAATGATTGTCTGATACCTACCGCGTTGTCATGTGTTCCACAACCCCGTCTAGATGAACGCGGGTTAATTGCTCCATATCGTATCCACGTGTCAATATACGCACAAGACTGAACTCAGCGACGCTCCTAATGCTTGTTTTATCTCCGACGTCGCACTAACTATGGTTTTCTTTGCAGTCTCATCCGAATAATCTTCACTAACAGTTTGAAGGAAAACTCCGTAAAGTATCTCAAAATCAACAGGGACGGCGTACAGATTAGGTATATCCTGAACATCATCATTCCACTGGAAAGTTGCTGTCCGTCAAGTGCGGGTCGCAGAAAGTCCTTAGTGAAGTAAAGCCACTCGCATAACACTACTAGTGTCGGGGCGAGCAGGACAAAGATGACACTCCAGACCGGCAACTTATATCTTTCAAGCCATGTTGTAACGGGCGAGTCGTAATAGTGTCCCATACTGCGATAAAAAACTTGTCTCTGAATACGCAGTGTAGTGAGGATGGATAAGTAGCACAACTGTGGAAAGGTTCCCACGGCTATTACGAAAAGCGTCAATAGCCTTTTCGGGTCCGACCAACCCAAGTGGATGTAGAAAAGTTCAGTAATGGCAAGAGAGCCCGTCAGAGTTATCAGATTCCAGACTACGGTGACGCAAGACAGCACCGACCAGTATTTAGGGTTCTCGAGCAACGATGCTGCATTTTCTGGGCCCAGTCCGAGTTCGTACCGATATGTTTGTCTTGTGCTGCGGCTCGGAGTAAGTTCCTCTCGGTTCCCGTCGCTCATGATGCCGAATTCAATGTCGCTGTTGTAGGTGGTACTGGCTTCTTGATTGCTGGACGCATGCTCCAGATGTTGTTGCGGAGTACGTGATAGATCCCACGCATTCCCTCCGCCATTCAAAAGTTCCTGTATTATCAGGCCTAGTGGACTTAGCGGTGCGAGAATGGCCATGATTTGGCCGAACGTCTAACCCTCTGGTTGAATGATATGAAGATGTGCATCGTGTGCTGGATAGTCTAATACAGCCGAGGGAAAACGCGAATATCAGTAAAAGTACCTAAGTATGAAACGTATTAGAGTGAATCTATGCACGGATCTGGTTAAGAGTTTGGTTTACCTTTGCCAGAGTTGAAGACACCCAATCAAGTATCAGACGACCCGTGAGGTGTAAGGACAGCATCGGCAGTTCAACCAGGTGTTCCCATAGCTCAGGTATATCCCCCGTCGTAGGAATCGTACGTTCTGCCCATAATGACATGTTTCTAGTGCGATAGCGGCTGTAGCGACTGAATCTGGTTCTGACACGCGTTGGCAACCACATGAACTGTAATCCAAATAGCGTTGAAGCGTTCCATAAGAACAAAAGAGCCAGAGTGCCCGTCTCAATTAAGACAGCTTGAAATGCGGCGGTCTCGAAAGGTTTGGCGTGCGTATCGCATATGGATCTGTAGTAGGTAATGGGCCGCGGAAAGTCATTCGATAGCCGCCCTGTTAAGTCTATGCTTCCGGCATGAGTTTCGCTGAGCAAGACCCGCTCGTTCAAATCCTGAACGAGATTGTCATCAAACCAATATGGCCTGTATGGACTAAAGCCGCCGAATTGACAAGGGCTTGCTGACCGAAATAAACTTCTGCCTTTGGATATGTCAAAGTAACATGACGCCGGCGAGCTGGGGTGAGCGGCCGACTTTGATAGCGCATACATCGTTGTGTCACCGTCGTACATAGACAAGGTAAAACGTTTGCTATACCAGTTGAGAAAGGCTGTGGGTACCATGGCGATGACGAGAAGAAACCAAAGCGCAGCCATAAGCGCGAGTCGAACGTTCCTTTACCACCGGTGTTCTTGGAAGTATGCTTGCATGAACAGAAGAGTTCCCTGCTGGGTGATGGTTGAGAATCGTGCAAGGTGAACTATGATTTGCCAGTGATATGCAGACAACCCATCCTGACCCTCCCCCGCTGGACAGAGCGATACAAAGTCGCTAATAATGACAGCGAGGCCTGTGAATATTTGGAAATCACTCAACGCCAGGAGACACTTATTTGATCAGTGTTTCTGCTCAAAATATCTATTGTCCGCCGACTCACCGTAAAGAAGACTCTTCTCATTTTCTCGCGGCCAAACGACAACTTCAGCCAAGTCAAGATGTGCCTCGGAATTGATCTAGTCACCTGGGGAAACAAAAGTTCTCCAATATACTGCATCGACTTCCGCACTATCTCGTCCACGATATTATTCGTCGCGTGATTGACGCCGCCATGGGCATTCGAATAAATCAAATAGTTGACCGCAACCGTTGCCACGTTAATTCCAGCCGTTATGATAAATCCATAGATAACCTGATGTGGTGTCAACGCCGTCACCAAACACAACGAGCCTACTTCTTTTACTTACACCAGGACCAGCGATGTCTCCATAAGACTCTACCTCTTTGGACGATAGGCTGCAATCTACGGGGCAGTCCCATGGCAGTCTCCAAGCCATTGTGATATCGAAGAAGTAATGTAGAAAGGGATAATAATTCGAAAGGGCAATATGTGCACAGGAACGAGGGAATTCAAGAAATTTATCCGGTCGCATCACGCAGCTAAGCTAAGGCAACTTCAATGGAAGCGTGCGAAAGGTTTGCAAATGGTTGCCTTATGGCACGTATCCCTTGGAATGACATAGCCCCATGAAATGTGGTCGTGATTCGCTCAATGTACATACCCTAGATACCTATGTCAGGCAGCTCAGCTACATCATCCAGATGTCTCAGTCTAATTCGATATGTCTCAGGTGGCCTTGGAATTTGATCCTAACAGGCTGTTCCAAAGTCCTGATCATGTTTCTGAACGTATTTTAGGACATTGAAGCAGCTGTCGTCTGATATGGGCTAGCGCAGCCAGCGCAGCCAGCTCAGGCAGGCTTTGCTATGCCGGCTTGCAATCGATCCTATAGAAGGTCAATACAAGTAAAACATGAAGGACGCGCTCATGTATATATCCTTTCGCGATGTGAATCCAAGTCCGGCGAAGTAACAGGATGCGAGAGTTTGCAAGCTGTTCCATATTTGATTCTCCTTTCCGGAACCTACAAATTACCATCTCTGTCTTATGTTGAGAAGCCTGCATCGCGTACCAAAGACGGTACGAGGAGTATTGCAATCTCGAAGGACTAAGTCGTTTGCAGACGCCGACGCGGCGGCAACGGAGCTCCAGTCTCACTGCCCAAACGGAGTGGAGCCGCCACTGGCCGGGACTTATTCGAATCGAAACCACTTCCTGTTGTGGCCTGGGTCCGGTTCCCGAGCTCGGCATCGGACACCCTTCAAGGGGTGCACGCGGACTCCTGGCTCCGGCTCATACGTCCCATCTTTTCACCGGCCTCGGTTTCGGCTGTCGGACGAGTGGGCAGCACCACCTTGGTAAAAGTCCCGTGAAAGAAGGTTTGCAGACGCCCAATAAGGGAGCGCATGATTACTCGATTGGGAAATTTGACGTGATATTGCGTGTTTGCGAAGACCAGATGATGGAAGGCAACTTAGATAGGAATCTGGAACGATGGCCTGGAATCTTCGGTACACCGAATCCAACAGTCCGGGTCTTGACAGGCTGTCAGCCGAGGTTTCAATTGTCACCTCAGGGCCTCCACCGGTTCGTCCACTACATCGGTATGGTGATGCACGCTACGAGGTGTTCTCCTGCTTTCCCATTGACTCTATGGCCTGGATTCGCGTCAGTTTTCTGATGCATCACGGTACGTCGGTACCAAATTGGTGGTCAACGTGAATTGTATTCGGCGAAGGTTTAGAATCCGGCTGCAAAGCCCAGGCGTACGTTCATGTTTATCGCATTAGACGCCAAATCGTCTGCATGCTATAAAATCACGTCGTGATTAATTACATTGTCGGGAGACTGGGCCTCAGATGCATCGGAATGTTCACGAATTGGCAGGCATCTAAGCCCCCGGGGAACAGGTATCAACCTGCTCGTGGGCGTTTAGATGCCAAGCCAATTCCGTACAGCCATATGTAGATCTTGAATCCTTCAGCCAACAGCCATCGCTTTAATCGTCTAGACGGAACGCCAACGTTCCCTTTTGGTGAAATTGGCCAATCTCGACCATGACAACGACCCCGCCAAGGCCGCATTCGAGTCCGACCCGGCAAATGGTTTCACGGTGATAGTTGCGAATGACCTTGAGCCACACATTTCGAATGGTCTGCGCTAAAATCCTACATGAGCTCTGATAGAACCCGAGCTCTCCAAGGTAGGATCATCAGTAGTGGCGTAGTACGTGCTACGTCATCATCGTGTTGCGCCACAATATGCACTCGACAATGTTAAAGTTAAACCTTCCCCGCCCTCGATCGCGTGTTCACGATAACTAACCTCTCGAAGAACCACTGGAGCCCACGCGTCTCTATTCAAACACCATGGAGCGCAAAGAAATTGTCAAAAAGCTGGCCTCGGCCAAGTCCTCTCAGCACAGGCCGATGATGACGATGGCCAACGGCGACAACACCTGGCTCATATCAATTCCTCGACCAGCCGGCGGAAAAGGCAAAGCATTCTACCACATCTTGCAGGACCCTTGGCTCGTCGGAGATGTCTTGACCCTCTATGCGTGGATCCTCCGCTTGCGCCACCCTCACAAGGAAGCCTTCGACAGCTTGGCCGGGATTGAAAGTTGGGTCGAGGAGATTGAGACCTCGGCAGGTGGCTCGAAAGACGAGGACGAACCGTGGCTGGACGCGGTTCTCGTCACTCACATACTCGCCGACCATATGCATGAAGAGACGTTGCGGAGTTTTGATGCTAGCACCAGGGTCTTTGCTGTCAAGGAACCGGCAGCGGTTATATCGTTGTGGAAGCACTTCGACAACGTTGTCGTCATACCAGATTTTGTGCGCAGCACAGACACGACGTGGCCCAGCATTCCCGAAATACCAAGCTGGCTCTCCGTCTTCCGCATCCCAGACGAGTGCGCGGTGTATCCGGTTTTGTACCATTGCATGGTAATCAGCTTCACTGGCGCCGATGGAAAGAGCGAGGTGATTCTATACTCTCCGCACGGGGTCGACCCGGATGCTGTCGAAGCCGCACAGAAAGCGAATCCGGAGTCGACTGTGTTGGCGATGATACACCCGCTTCACAAGACTGGTCTCACGGAGAAAGGCACAACGCTCGGGGTCACAAACGGGTTGAAGATTGTACGAAGGAGCGAGCCAAAGTACTGGCTGGGAACTCATGATGACAAGATCCAGTATTCCGGGCTTCTGAGTTGGGTGTTTAATCACGGCCGCTTGACGTTGGACGATGGCCTTGAGGAGGAAGCTAGGGAGACTGGGCAGAAGTTACCGAGGCCAAACCTGGTGGAGGTTGGAAATGGCGGTGGTTATATTCTCGTGTGAGGTAGCCATTTCGTTAGCGCAGTTGAGAGTGACACATTATGTGGTTAGAACACAAGCGTCCAAGGTGGCCATGATTGGGATAAAACGTTTCCTATCCGGGCAAATACAATGAAATCAATGCGACTATGAAAGTTATCGAGACAATAATAGCGGTGATAATAGCGAATATGGGTGAGATTGACAATATAAATTCACAATGGTCGGAGGAAAAATGTGCTAATTTCTAATGAGGCATACGCCTTTATTGATTATAAGTCCCGTATCTTTAGTCTAAGATGTACAGGTGATCCAATCTACTAATACCCGCCCCAGTAATCCGTAACTCCGATTATATTAGGTAGCAATTTACATGCAGGCGGCACCGTCAATACCGAGGACCTTGCCGTTGATCCACTCACCGTCCTGGGAAGCCAGGAAGCAGACGACACGGGCAATATCGATGGGGAGACCGACACGGTGCATGGGGGACCAGCCAGCGGCGTACTCATCGACACCTTCGTCGTCGAGCTCAGTGCCGTTGGGGATGTACTCGCGGCAGACGTCACTGAGATGATGTCAGAGCTGGGAAATCTGTCATGGGATTCTCTGGAATGCTTACCGGTACATGTCAGTCTTGATGCCACCGGGGGCAACGGCGTTGACAGTGATCTTCTTGTCACCGAAGTCGATGGCCATGCAGCGGACGAAGGTCTCGATGGTACCCTTGGATCCGGAGTAGACGGCGTGCTTGGGGACACCCTTGGCCTGGCCGGTAATGGAGCCCATCAGGATGAGGCGGCCACCAACCTCAAGGTTCTTGTAGGCCTCGCGGGCGACGAAGAACTGGCCACGGGTGTTGATGCTGAAGACGCGGTCGAACTCCTCGGGGGTGACGTCCTTGACGTGGCCGAAGGAGACGACACCGGAGTTGGAGCAGACGACATCGAGCTTGCCGAAGATCTTCTTGGCCTCGGCGAACATCTTGACGATCTGGTCGACGTCGGAGACGTTGGCCTTGATGGAAGCGGCGTCGGAGCCGGACTTCTTGATGGCCTGGACGACCTCCTCGGCGGTCTCGGCGCTGTTGGCGTAGTTGACGATGACCTTGGCACCACGACGGCCAAGCTCCATAGCCATCTCGCGACCAATGCCACGGCCTATGGCAGCCAGTGTTAGTTGCATGAACCTTCTCTCGAGATCGGACGAACTAGACCCCGAGCTGCATCACGAAAGCCATGACTAAAGTCTACCGGCAATCGATAATTGTGCTCCGAAGGTGTGCATCGTCCAGGGGAACAGAAAGTATCAGATGGACTTACCGGCACCGGTGACGAGAGCGACCTTGCCCTCAAGAGACGCAGACGCCAGACCCAGAGGGCCGGGAATGCGGTCGTACTTGGAACCCTTAGACTCGGAGGTAAGGCCAGGCATTTTGACTGATTTGGAGAGGTTGGATTAAGTCGGGGAAATGGTGTTGTTATTGAAGAAAAGGTATCGTCGAGATAAACCGAGGAGAAGTCGATTGGTTGTTGAGTGAGAGTGGTGATTGAGTTCTGCTGAGCTGTTTCGAGAACCGGATTGGGAGACGGAAACCTGGGTATTAAATACGACATTTTGACATGTTTGATCGTGTGCGTGTTGGCGTCGGTTTGTTTCCCGCGTCTCCATCACAACGTTGAGATCGCCCGACCGACCGCACCGTGGTTCAGGAGAGAGACAAGCGTAGAGCGTGTGCCTGAGCCTGTTCGTCGCACCGGAGGCCCGTGGAGAGACCGCCGGACATGGACGTGCGCTTCTCGGACGTCCGTGAAACGACACCATTTCGGTCGCTAGTCTGCGGCCACATTGGACCAACGCATCGCTTCCCGCACCAAAAAGCGAGAGCCGAGTGAGCGCCACATAGTCCATCCCTATTCTTTTCTGCTGATCGTCCCTGAGCTAGCGTTGCGTGCCCCCATTTCGTGAAAGTCAGGCCGGTCCCTTGGCGCCGCATCCACATTCTAAGGATAGACGCCGCTTGTGTACACACGCAGCCAACCTTACGCAACCTAACCTCGCTCCCACGCAACCCTTCCTGCAGGAAGTTATTTCAACGAGGCCGCCCGGACCGAGCCCCGGACGCAGGCCAAGGCGGACTGGCGGACTGTTCCACCGTGACGGGCCCCCTTTGCTCGGTCTTGGGCTCTATCCCCAAGACATCATTGGCTTCCCTTGGGCTTGTTCTTGAGCACAACGCCGGTCGCTCTTCCGTTCGGCGCGATGCCCCTCTTTGAGGTCTCTCTCCTGAACCTCGCGTGCCTTACTCGCGCTTCTCTCGCTATTCCGACGATTGCAGCATCCGATGCGCGAGCGGATGGGGCCGATTCCCTCGGAAGGGAAGCGATGGTCCCAGGACTGAAGAGAGGCCGGGGTCCCCCGGGGCTCACCTCCACATCCCGGCACGGATCACCACGTCGTAGGATTGACGCCTTACGTTGCCGGCCAACAGCAGAACATGGCGGCGCCACGAGTCTCAACGTCGTCCGAGAGGATCAGTGCTACATCCGCAGATGAGACTGCGTTTGCAGTTTGCAGTCCGGACTCCAGCAGCGTTCCGCTCGCCGGCCGTGAAGATCTCAGTTGGTGATGGTTCATGAACGAAAATAGCAAGCTCAATGTGACGATGTCAAGGTATTGGAGTGCTAGATGTGAAGTTGTCAAGGTTCGATGCTACAGCTTCCGTCTCATGAACACAGGCCGCAGTGGAACCGCCTTCAAATTTCATGTGTGAACGGCATCCTTGGCAAGGCACATCGGGCCTCAACTTACCGAGCGAACGGTTCCGCAACCCCCACAGGATTCGGGGTGGATGCTGATGTCCGGCATCCCATTCCGATCCTTTCGTCGGCGATGGGGCCGTCTAAAGATTCCAAAATCCTCGCGGTGACGGTGCCACACCCGCCACCTAGACTACGGCATAAAGCCCTACCGGCAAGACTTGCTCGACACCGGCCCAGAAGCAGCCCATCCCCCGGCCCAGTTCGTTCCATGAGCGACGCGGCCATCCCAAGCGACGTGTGGAGCCCAGGCCATCCCGGGCCAAGGCCGTATTTGTGTTACTGAGCGTTCATGGCCCGGGCCGAAAGTTTCGTATTCTACGGTTGAGAAGACGGCGCTGCCAGGCCGATCCATGGAGGAAGACCCCGATCCGGCAACTCATCGGTGTTGTCTCATGTGGTCGGATGGTTGTATATCCAATTTCCACTATTCCGCGGGCGCTGAATACGTGTGGAGGAGTCATCAGATTACTACTTTGTTTCAAGGCCTTCTAATTGACCCCGACCATGTCTATAATGATCTTCGTGTAGTTCGTCGCAGAGGTCTAGGTGGTGCCCACACACGTGTGACTGGCCACGTCTACGATGACACGTTCGGCAAAGGGTTGTTTGAATCGGCATCTACTGAAACCTTTTTGTTCGTCGCGATACCTGACAGCCTACATTTTGGGACGAATCGTGGGAAGCGGCTGAATTTCACCATCAGAAAAGGGATTGATCAACGGCTTCTGCTCTACAGGCCAGTCAAATGGGAATTTAAACAATTTATTGGATTCCGCCCCTCGAAAAAGTATGGGGCCGTCACAATGCAACACAAAATGGTTGCCTGGTGGTGGTCCTCGTCCTTCATGCGCAGCGCAATCAACGTCGGTCTCCGCGATGCCCTCATCAAGGACACTTTTCCAAGACTGCCATGGGCAAACGCAAGGGATCAAATCCGCAGCAAGGGGGCCAGCGAGCGAAATTTGAAGGATATTCATTTGATTACGAAACCTTCCCGATCGCTTCTTCAAACGCAGCGCTTTCCAACTTGTTGCGACAAACCCTGCCTCAATCTCTTCATTGCATGCATGTTGGTCACACTGCTTGGGGTCGATTCTTGTTAGTTCTGGATACTTACAAAGGCAAAAGCCCGTATTATGCTGTGGTGGTGTGCTGTCGGTACAAAGGCACCCTACTCGTAAGTTCGGATTCCCCGTCAGCACCGCCGTCAGCAGCCTTTCCCGTTGGGCGACCCGTCCCATTTGCGGTGATGACAAACTTTCTCGTATTTTTAGAGCTTGCACCGCAAACCAGGCTGGGCTTATCTCAGATACTTCAGCTGAGCAGCCAAGTCCTCCGCAGACGATCCTACAAAGTGCAACTGCAAGAGCAAAGCCCCCGCCACCCAACAAACACCTCGAACCAACAACCCTGGCTCCAACAGCATGATAGCCGGCAGAACACCCACCCACCCGCAAAGGATATTGTTTGCTCTTCGGCCTTGTTCCAAGACGATTTATGAACTCATTCCACGTCAAGGTCTCACAATGACACCCTTTAATCAAGCCGTCCCCCTCGTGATGATCTGTCTCAGGCTCCTCTACGCGGCTTGGGTGCAATCCCACACACACCCTCATTCAATGAAAATGCAGCCTTGAATGGCAAACACTGTGAGACCGATTCCCAAACGCCCAAGAAATCCCGCCGCTGTGGTTTTGAGAGCTCATGCAATTCACTTCATCTTACCGGATTCCGCAGCCCGCATACTCGAAGTCTTGGCCAACGCCAGTCTCTTGATGATGCCAAGTAGTGAGCCTGTGTCTCCACATGCTCGTCAAAAAGCCTACCCCCAAGAGCCCCCAAAAAGAGGCTGTGAACCCCACAAGCGCAATATTGGCACATCCTTCGCCCTGCGGCAACAGCGACAGCCTTATCCGTCTGCCTGCAGACAGTCTGACGAGCTTTCTCTTGTGCTGGACCAAGTAATACCACCCACCGAAGATCAAAGTCGCCGAATGATGCCCCCGGGCAAGCCAAGCTGATCGGGGTGGGGTGGCTTGGTTCGCATTCCAACCTGTGGGCCCTCTCTCAATTACGCTTATATACATCTCAGACGGGATGTCTTGACTAACAATCAAGTACGCGTGCCAGCTTTCCCCAAGTCAGGGTTTGAAATTGATCTCATATCTTTCTTCTTCTGCACACCAAAAGAACCAAAGAAGGGGACCGCCTGGTTCCCGCATACAGATATCGAGGACCGCACTCACATCACCATCGGCATGGCGCACAGCGGTGACTTGAGCTGTCCCAGAGGAGGAAAGTTCTACGTCTGCACCGGCAGCGCGAAAGAGTTTCTCGGCTGTTGTACTTCGAATCCATGCGCCAACGGCGGAGAATGCCCGGCCGACGACAGGAAGGTGTCGTCCTTCAGTCTCGATGTCTACCCGAATATCCAGGAGCAAAGCTGTGACGATCCGAGACCCGCGAAAGAGATCTGGTGGACCTGCAAAAACGAACACACGAACACATTCCCGTTCATCGGATGTTGCGCGACGAATCCATGCAACGAGACAGACGGGCTATGCCCGATAGACAACCTCATCCCGGCCACGTTGAGTAAAGACTCCAGTGCAAGAGCATTTTTCGTCGCCAGCGAGGATGCTTCACCAACCCCTTCAGCATCCGCGTCTGCGACTTCAACGCCGGGTAGTGGGTCAGGAGGTGGTCTCGCCACGGGAGCCATCGTAGGTATTGCGATTGGAGCTGCTGTTGCTGTCGGCGTTATCATTGCCATCATCTGGCGATGCGGCTGGCACGCGAGGAAGCGCAACGAAAGGCGCGAGCCGAACTGGGAGCCCGCTTCTCCCGGCCGTCATCCAGAGATGGGCTTCGCCTCATCGCCACACAGCCCTTCACCCTACGATCCGTCACGCAGCCCCCGTCCGTATGACCCGGCCCGATGTAAGCCTCTCATCACCTTATTCCAAAGGATCATGACTGACAATCCAAGCATCCTTCGCCACGACTACCGTCCAGGGATCCTACGCCTCGACTTCGCCGCCACACTCGCCGTACTACGGCTTGAAGCATGCCTCACCCGTGATCGATAATCAGCGCATGTCGACATATGCAGACAGTAATGTCAGCTCCATGACTAGCCATACCCCGCATGCAAGACACGTTAATCCTTCGTCTGTCGGAGTACCCGAGCTGCATACCGTCAGCGAGCTGGACGGCATTGAGCAGTACCCTGCGGTGGTGCCACCACCGCCACCAGAGGAGCCAAAGGCTCCTTTGGCAGAACTTGGGGACGGAACGCCTACGAGTAAGAAGTAATGATAATGTTGGAATGTCAGAAAATGGTTGGGCTTTTAGAGGAGCGGGGTGTTCCGGTCATACTCACTATTCTTTCCATCTCAGTACATGCGCAAGGTTGAGACTATGGGTCATCGTCATCCTCCAGCTTACTTGTATATAACTGGTCATGATGGTCATGCATGGTGCTGCATGTCATGGTCTGTCAAATATAATTCCCGTGCACACGTGTCCATTTTTCAAGTCAGATTGCCGACTGATTTGGCTAAACTTGAAGATTCTGCCCGGCTAAGAGATCTGTAGGGAATGTCTACATAGCACCATCCCTCTTCTTGACCTGGTCCGTCTCAAAGGAGAGCCCCGCATCCTTTCTGATAACTCCATAAATCGCTGAAGCATCGACTTGCCGGTCTGCAGCGTCGGCATATTCCACCGCCTCTTCCAACTGCTGCAGGATAAGAGACAGCAATTTCGGCTGCGTGCCGCTCTTCAAGGCTTGCCTACCGGCTGCTACCCCGTTAGTAGCGGGGGACCATGGCCGCTCGCCTCGAGGAGGCATGTAAGCCCCAGACGTCAGCCGGTTCGAAACCATCAACCCGACCGGACCCATCTGCTCCTTGAGTAAAGTCTCTACGGTTCCGATTCCTAACCCTGCCTTTTCACCGAGAGTATGAGCCACACCCACCACCTCGACCATGCCCATTGACAAGGTGTTGCTAAACAGTGAGGTCAGTTAATCCTGGTCTTTTCCAGACAGCATCTCGATACACTTACGCAACAGCTTTCAGATAGCTCGCTTGGCGAACGTCATCGCCTGTGAGAACAATGCCTTTCCCCATGACACCGGTGATAAGGGGACGTACGGCCTCAATGGAACTCTCCTTTCCAGCCAAGATCCACAAAAGTTGTGCCTTCGCAGCTATGGGACTAGCCCCAACAACTGGGGCAGCGACGTAGTCTGCCCCTTTCTCTTGCAGTCTTGATTTGGCCGCCGCCGACGAGGAAGGCTGGATGGTCGAGGTGTCAACAATTATCTTATTGTTCAGTTGACCAACCTCCAGAATCTTGTCCAACACAGATTCAACAGCTAAATCATCAGCTAAAGACATGAATACAATGTCAGAGTTGGAGACTAAGTCAGGAATGGTTGACGGAGTGCCCCCTAGTTGTTTCAGAGGGTCACCACGAGACTCGGTGCGATTGTAGAAACGGAGACTTGGGCCTTGCTTCTTTGATAGATACTTCTGCAAGTTGGAAGCCATATGAAGTCCCATAGATCCCAGTCCTGGTCTGTGTGAGTGCCTGCACCAAAAGAAGATCTGCAAAGCTACGAATAGTGGACTTACCTATCCACCCCAGTCTGGGGGCAATTGAAATCTGTAATGAAGACATGTTGAGTAAAAAAGATGAAGTGGTTGAGAATTGTGTTGGAAGAGCTTTGTGAGGGTGCACTTTTCCATTTACATACTTGATCATGAACACGCTCATGTTCACGTCTGATGGCGATCTGGAGAAACGGGATAGCCCCGAGCACCGATCTTCCGTTAAGGTTTCACCGGCAACGGGATCGGAGATTACGGTTGGCTTCCGGCGGAGGTTGCCCTTGAGCTCTAGATCCGATAGATGCGGAGTAGCTGACAGTGTCAAGCGTCTCATCTATGCTATTCTACGCCATGATGCTATGAAATTGTGCCGGCCTATCGGCACAAAGCGCGAAGCTAGTTGGCATCATTTTCGACCGAGATCAAGTCGGAACCTGCAAGAAGCTTTACACAACAGGGATGGTGTGACGGTCAATTAGTTTAATCGCGATACCATCCGAACACTTCCAGACGTCGCTCGACAGATATTATTGAACAAGGGCACATCTCCACAAGAATATGCCCTGATTTGGTGGTGGACGGGGGCCGACGCGGCTAGAGGCAATCGCTGAGATGTGGACAACGTCACACACCACGCGAAAACAGAGTTCGAAGAACATTGGGAGATTCCACCGTAGCTCAAACACTCAAGGAATCTTAGAAATTGCACGCCTTCGGGCGTGAATTGAAGTTATAGCAACTACGCCAAGCATGTGACCCTCCAACTTTCGGTCGCCGTCAATAATTCAAGCCCGCCTTGCTAGCTCAATCGGTAGAGCGTGAGACTCTTAATCTCAAGGTTGCGGGCTCGACCCCCGCGTGAGGCTCAAATCCTCACCGCGATTGACTGAATACAATCATTCGGGTTTCTTTTTTTCGTTTTTTACTCAATTCTGGCTTTTCTGCTTGCGGTTCCTGCCGAACGTCAATCTGTGCCTCTGTTTTGTGGTCTAACCCAGTGTCTGTTAGAATAGGGTGTGGTTTTGACTACGCTTTTTGCTGCTATCTTGAGCTATACTGTAGTTTGCAGGCTAGAGGAGGTTGCTTATGAGTTGACAAATTTGCAGAAAGAGCTAATGGTCAGCTGCTAGGTGATGCGTTTGTGTAGTGAGACAAAGTTCGTTGTGCGTTCAACATTGGATCATTAGAATGCCTTTCTTTCACTATCTCTCTAAGCCTGCCGTATTACATGCGGTTCTTTGTCTCAATCTAAACACTATCTAACATCGAAGAGCTTCTCATAAAAGACACTGACGTTTTCTGGAACGCAGTCGAAAAGGGGGCCAATCGAATGCAAGCGCCATCCATGTGTCGGTCTCTGTGTCTCATCCGAAACAACCCATTTCATACCAAGCTTCCTAGAAACTACGATGCGATTCTTCAGGTGCGACAGAGAGGTCGCAATACGATATATAAATAGCGTCCGTGAATATACCTAGATGAGCACATCGTCACGGAGTCATCGAATGTAACCAACATAGCAACGTGAGATACTCTCGTTAACATCATCCTCATCGTTTCATCGAAGTCGTCCTGCTTCTCGAGAGCTATAACAATGTCTGAATCCCAGATAGCATGCGATGAATACGGCGCCAACCTCGCTTTCCTTCGTTTCGGAATCTTCTTCCTTTTTCTGTTCAGCGCACTACTTGGCGCTACGTTCGGGTCAATTGTTGGCGTCGCGTCCTTCAACCACGAAACCAAGATTCCTTTGGGCCTCTTCATCGCGATTGTGGTAGGAATGGCCTTCTTGATCTTCTGCGGCGGAATGGCGCGGTGGATACACATATCCATGGACTTGCCTTCAAGACGCAATCCTCACGACTACCCAAACGGTATAACGCATGGCTCGACGGAGTGGCGCCAACATCTGCTTCACTCTAGGCCAGATATGAGATTCAGAATCCGTTTTGGAGTCTGGTTGATCTGGATAATGCACAAGCTCGTTCGCATGGGAGATATGATATTTGACTCCCCGGTGGACCCTCAGAAAGAAAATGATGTTGAGATGCTACGACCTAGGGGTAATAGGCTGGCCCATTCAGAACCGCACGGTAACACGACAAACGGCAACTCGCCACCTAGTCCTGAGCCAGCTATCAAGCCAATTTCGAATCCAGCCCCTGTCCGAACCTCGACCCCAGCGTCTAAGCTGCAACTCGAGCCAACTCCAGTTTTTATCCCAAGGCCACTCACGAATATCGAGAAAGGTCAGAGAGCGCTTGAAGCTGCTGCCAGAGTTAATGCAACCTATGGGCGCCACGAGTGTCTTCGAAGAGAGCCTCATGACCCAGACGTCAGATTGGGGCAAAAGCGTCCAGTACTAGACAATTCTACTGTTCGGAATGCGTCGAATCGTTGGTGGATCAGGAGTGAAGGCGAACCTGTCAAAGGTATGCCGCCTGGAGGTCCTCACATAGTTGCCAATGATCCTCACTCTGGCTGAACATGAGCAGTTGGACCACAACTGCATACTGTAAAAACTGCAAAATACACCTGAAAGGCTCATTATCTTGTGGGACTTAAGTATGCTTCGTTCCATAGTGTCGTGAGCACGGGTTAGATGGATTCGGTTGTGAGTATCGACGCCTAATTGTATTTCTTTACACATAACGAAGAGAAATTGGTGCTTGCTTTCAATGAGACTGTTGGCAACTTGGCTTAGAATACTTGAAAGTTAATAAATCAATGTGAGCACTGAAACCCCAACATAATGTTCAAGCCAACGTCCAATGACCCATGCTGAAGCCTTGTGTGACTGGCATCCCACTCCGTACGCTTCGGGAAGCCTGGCCGATGTATGTCTGCGCTGTGATATCGAAAAAGATTCTTTGATTGAGCGAAATTCAGATGGCAACCTTAAGCGCTTTACTAGACGTGTGCTGCTAGAGTCCCAGATGCAATGGAACCAAACACGACTCATGGAAGCAAACTCTTCGTCAAAAATCAACGGACGGGGCTCCTTCGGAAGGTTTCCACAATCGGCGATACAGGAGGAGCCCGCGACCAGGGGGCATGCTACCCTACGACAAAATGCGATTCTAATGACGACATGTTGTTAAAGCACGGAAAAGACTCGGACAATTCCGTTCTGGGCTTCCCCTCAACTCTTCTCCGGAGATGAGATGGCAGCCGTTGGCTGCGCAGCTGAGGACAGGGCAAGGAGGACGAGGCAGTCTTCCAAGCACGAAGAAGGATATGCCGCGACAACATCTAATATTACCCCTTTTCTCAAAAGCAGGATTTGAGTATGCCGCCATCAGATCATCTGAACGCTCTGGCTAATCAAGCATAACTATTACCCGTACCAAGCTTCCATCACGCCGCAGCGTCGCAGCGCATTAGAGCGAGCGCATCACTCCCTCCCTCTCGCTGCCCTTGCATTGGTGCCGCGTAACCGCGTCGACACACCCTCGGCATTCGCTTATCCGACGCATGTCGACGAAAGCGGAACTCATCGAAGAGCCAGAATCGTACGTGTGAAACATGCCAAATTTCCTCTGCCTTGATTTCTGCATCTGCCAACACTGCACTGGCTCCAAAAATTATCGAGATCTGGTCGGACGAATTGCCGTGCAGGGCGATGAGAAGAGGGTGACAGGCCAGGAGATCCTACTGGCGATAATCTTCTTGCGCAGTGGACCACCTCACAGAGCCCACACTACAAGGTTACCTCCATGTTGACAACATGGGATTCTATCCAGTGAACTTTTTCTTTTCCATCAAAGAACTCCATCAATAAAGCTGGGTCGGGCGATGACATTGGCTAGAACTCGAGTAAATTGGAGCTGTGGGCTGTGATTCACGGCTAAAGGGAACCCGTGCCAACGGCCTCCGCGGGGTTCAGGGGCTAAAAAGTGGCCAAAAAGAAAGCACAATTCAGTCACACTACCAACGGTCCAACAATTAAGCAGCGCCGTACAAGCGACTTCTACCGAGATCACTCTCGGTTTGCCAACAGCCACTTAACGGTGACTAGCACGTCGTTGAGACGGTTGATCGTTTGGGTGTAACCGACCCGAGCGCGCCCACGTTGCAGTCGCAAGGCAGATCCAGGTCACCAACGGGTGCGACCTTGCGGTAATTTATCGTGGTTCTGATATGCTGCAGCGGGGAAGAGTTGCACCAAGACTCATAACTCCAGCACAACTTTCATATTGAGCACAAATTGGTGCTGAACAGGTCGCTGGCGGCGCCGTGCGCTACTACATGGGGGCTGAGATGAATGATCTGCCCGTCCGGCCCTAGCCCGAGAACTCAGAGCGTCGCAGTTCGCGGAGTATTTGGTCCTATTCCTGGACCAGAAATAACAGCGCTGTTAAGAATTGCAACAGCTCAGAATCTTCCTGCGGTAACACGTCTTGTATATGTAGTCACGACAACTGATATAGTGTGCCCTCGAATACATGTCACTTGCGATACCGAGTTATTCTCATCATTAGGCTATGCCTGTGTGGTGTGATCTTTGTGCACTCAGCTTTGACCGCGTGCCACTGCGAGAAAAAAACAGTAAGTCTGCCTGCCCACGAACACGCCCCCACCAATATCAACTCCATTATATGGGGGGCGTGTCAAAGTCCCACAGGCGGCTCCCCGTGTCAATCGAACGATCCAGACGTCGGAGGTTCTTCTGCTTACAGACTGGCACGCCTCACCATCTTAAACGGCAATTCGATGTCCACAATGGCATTGGTCCTATGATGTCGTTGGTAACGGGAATCAATTTCAATTGGCGGCTCGAGGCCCTGTCTCTCACTTTCTACCGTGAGGCCGTCTGCGCCGCTCACTGATCGTCATTGCTAATCGTCGCAGTGCCTCCTCCCTCTGCCTCAGCCACGATCTTTGTCCTTACAACCTTGCCAGTCGTGTCCATGTAGATGTTGCTAAACGCCTCCAGGCCGGGGTATGGCGCATATACGTATTGCATCTCAAACTCCTTGACCTGCCCGTCAACGGAGATGGTCTTGTTGTGGCCGCTGAAGGTCATGTCGCGGCTGTAGTATCCGACAACGCGGCGTCCCGTCTCGTCGCCGTTGTTGTTCAGGTACACGTCGAACAGCGAGCCGTTCTGCGCGAGCACGCGGTTTGTGTGTGTGCGACCGGAGAAGTCGTTGACTGAGTACAAGATGTTGTTCTCGATGCGGTAGGTCAGGTCGCGCTTTGCGACCGAGCTCGCGTCCGTCTCGACGGGACTCGTGATGACGTCGGTGGTCTTGTTTACGATGTCACCGACCGTGTCGCCCAGCGTTGCGATGATGGGGTTGAGATCGATGCTCGTGAGGACGTCGTCGACCATCTTTACGACATTCTCCAGGCGGGCCTCGAGCTCGACCTTGGCAGACACATTGTAGATGCCCAGCTTGACACGATCGATGCTCGCGTCGACACCAGCCTGGAAGTGCAACAGGTTGAGAACCTTTGCGTCAAGGTTCACCTTGGCCGTGATATTCTTCACCTCGATGCTGATCTCGCCGACTGACACCGAGGCATTGAGATACACATCCGGAATGGGGTTGAGCGTATCGATGCCGGTGCTGGTGCTTTCCGTCTCGTATACGGCGGACTCATTGTCACCGCGGCGTTCGAGAGTGTATCCGAAATAGCCATCGCCCTTGGTGTCATCCTGTGCGAGGGCGACAGTTGAAAGAGCGGCAAGCAAGGCGAACGCCCTGCTGATGAAAGGGCCCATAGCGAAGGTTTGATGAAGTCTCGTAAGGAACGAACGAACGGCACAGCAGGCCGTTGAAGATGTTGAGACGACAGGAAGAAAGGCCGCAGACGAGCAAGGTCTACTGCTCACATGGACGCGGGGAGTACTGGATAGATGTATGGTCTATTGACGCATGTGGGAGGGGATGCGAGGCCCAGATGTGATGACGAGGGAATTCTCCCACCGCCGGCAGGCATCACACCCACACCACTTCAATACAAATCCATGCTAAGATCATGGGTAAGTCTCCCCATCTCCAAAGCCCGCACTTAGTCGGTTATCCTCTCGGAAGCCTCCGCCGCACGCGAAGCCCACGTTCAAGCGAATCACCCGACTGGTTCATCCCACGGCGCAAGGCCCAGACCGTCGACGCGGCATCGATATCCCATGCATAATGGACGGCAATTTCACTTTACCTTGGAAACTTGGAAGTGATTCCAAGGAAAACATGCAGCCCATCGGCCCGGGGGCTTGCAGCATGTCTCGGCATGAGATGACTAGCCACGCTTTGGAAAGGGGGGCAGCGGGGGGCCAGCTGCCAGCACCGCCTTTCCGGAACCGTTGTCATTATCCGCCCTAGATATGGAACCGCATTGGACCAGTCCCACTGAGGGTGTGGGTGCATGACTGCTCCACGATGGACAGGGGACGCCGATGAGGTAAATTGACAACCTTGATTTCACTGAAGGACGATGCCGCCTTATATCCCCCGGCGGCCCTGTCGCCGTGACTGGAGTATCCCACAGCTCACCAGCGTCAAGCCGTCTTCGTCTCTCCCCATCCGGTGTTGTCGTTGTTCCTTCATTCACTCCTTCACACAAGCACGCACCTCAATCAAGATGAGGTACTCCATTCTTTCATTCCTTCTCGCGGTTCTCGTCTCGCTCGCGGTGGCCCAAACTCCAACCGCGACGGACACTGCTGAGACAACGGCGGCCGATCAACAATCCTCAACACCACAAGCAAGCGGCTCCGCGACTACCCCAACCTCGACAGCTGCGCAAGGAACCAGGAAGAACGGTAGCGGCGGGGGTGGAACGACCACGGCGCCGTCCAGCACACCTCCTGCGGATGTCTACCTCAAGGTCCCTGAGCTCTCCGTCGGGCGCATCGAGCTCGACGTCGACAACCTCAACGCCGAAATCAATCTTGCTGCAGAGGTCGCTAAGCTCGTCACTATCAATGCTGGCGTACAGATCGGCATCGAGAAAGTCAACATCACCATCGCTGACGTTTCAGCGGAGCTCGAGCTTGTCATCCGCCTCGGTAATCTTGTTGACATTGTCAACCGTACCTTGGCATCCCTCGACCTGAACCCGCTCCTGATCAACCTCCTCGACACAGTGGGAGATGTCGTCGACGATGTCATCGGCGCCGTGGATGGTCTTCTCGGCTCCATCGTCAACGGCGACACCAAGATCCACTTCCTCATCGACAACCTTGGCAACATTGTGCAAGAGGTCACCAACGCTGGCAGTAGCGCTCTGAGCAGCATTATTGGCAACTACCAGCAGAACATGACTTTCACTGGATCTCAGACGGACCTCGGCAATGGCTTGGTTCAGAAGGTCTACGAGTATGCTCCGCTAAGCTCGTTAGTCAATATCGTCTTCAACACGCTCGGCCAAGTTGTCCGAGCTACGGTTGTGAAGGGTGGATCAACAGGAACTTCGACTACTTCGGGCACTACGGCGGCAGCCACATCTGCTGCAACAAGTGCTGCACCTGTCACGACGACAGCGGCGGCTAGCACGTAGGCCTGGTATTTTAGCAATAATACGTTTAGACACGTACAGTTTCTTGACTCAATAATGCTGTGATTCTGCTTAATGATGTCTGTCTTAGTAGCTATCAAAGCCGGTCTTTGCCGCTGCCAATCACGTCTATAACTGTGTCGCTTCAGAGTCCCATCACTGGTCTTCCCCTCTGCAGTCAGGTAATGAGCTTTGCCATTCTGGCGGAGATATTCCGCGAGGCAGCGGAGCTCAACCTTTGTAGCTACGATTCTGCTACTGATCTTTAGTATCCGCACCATACTCGCTATCATCTACCATGAATGTTCAATGTTTCAGCTAAAGGGAACCCTGACTTGCTATTTCTTCTTTGGGGATGAGACGAACTGGCAAGATCCGCATTTGATTGATCAATGAGGGTTCCTGCGGGAGCGAATGACAATTTGTGTTCTTGCTATTTTCCAAACTTCCAAGGAGTGAATTATTTGAGGGCAACCAAAGTAAATGGTCGTAGGGCTTTTTCATTCGTTGGGATCTCGAAACTGTTTGAATACACCTAGACTTTAGATTTGATTAATGATTTACTTCGTAGGTAAATACGTTCCACACTAAGAGCAAGTCTATACATGTGCATACCTCAGATGTCACCACTTTGAGCCACTACACTCAAGGTTTTGAGAGTGCAAAGGGTGACTCGTCATCCCTGAGTAAGGACTCGAAAAACTTTCTTTGAAACATCTGGTCATATTCCGTAACTCCGAAACATTCCACTGATATCCGCTGTTGTACATTAAAGCATTCCCTAGACTTGCGACTGCATTGTCATTGTTTCCATTCCTAACACTAAAAATACTCACCCAACTTTCATCCACGAAGCCAAGACACCTACTCCGTCACTTTTTTTCTACCAAAGCCGCCAGGCCACCGTTAGCACAAGAACAGAACTCGGAAGCATGGATCATCACAGAATGGAAGTTCTTAAGCCTGTCGCCAACAACAAGCTGGCCATCTGGGACTTGCCTATCGAGATTCTTCAGGACATCTCATGCTCACTGGCATCCAAAGATCACCTTCAATGGGCATTGGTGTCGCGATGGTTCAGCTCCGTTCTTTGTCAGCGCCTGGTGCCAAATGCCGTGGCCCGACATGAAAGTTATGCGTTCATCTGGGCCTTTAACACTGGACATCTCGACATGATGAGACAGTGTATCGATCTTGGCATGAGCCCCAGACTGTCGGTTTCGTTCATATCGGCCAAAGAATGCTATGAACGGCTTCCGATAGTGGGTGCCAGCTTGCTTTCAGGCGACGCCGACGCCGCGCAGCTATTGATGTCAAGAGGAGCCAAGCTCAGCGATTTGCCTCTGAAGGGGCCGTCTAAACGTCGGAATCCTTTATATTTTGTCCGTCATACAGCAACACTCCGACTTTTGCTACAGAAGAGCACTCGACGATACACAAATCCCTGCGACAGCGACGGCCTATTCAAAGATATGATCATAAACTCAGTTCCTGACGAGGTGCTTTCCCTCGCTCTTGAGAATTCTGTCTTTCCACTCAACCCCAGGATTGTCTGTGAAGCTATCAGCTACGGCCGAATATCCCTCGTCGAGAAGTTGTTCCTCATGGTGCCAAGGCTGTCAAGCTCTGATGATGAAGGTCGACTTTTTGATGGGTCGCCTGCGCTGTGGTACATCTATAGTGCATTGGGCGTGTTGTCATCGGCAGATGACATTCATCGTATGTTGCAGGTCATCAACGAAGCTACCGATGCGCTTCCCCCAAGGAGCTTCAATCCTGTTATGAAGCGCATCCTACGGGCTGCGATGACAAGTACCTTGGTCAGCAAGGACAGCCTCGTCTGGCTCATGAGCAACAGGCTCATAGACCTTTCTTCCAAGGAGAATCGAAGAGCCTTTCATGAAGCGGTTTACGAGATAGCTTCCGGCCTGCGATGGCTAAATTCATTCACTATAAATGAAAAGATGAAGGTTCTGCTCGAATACGACAGCACCATTGCTCTGTACTTACCCATAGGTAACATATCCTACGGGAGTAACATCGCCTATCCTCGCTTTCTTCACGCCGTCGAAGGCAAGATTCTAGATGGCGAGATGGCTCCGGAGGTTCGCATGACAGCTAGTCAGCTGCTGGTCAAGCTACTCGGGTGTGGCACTGGCGAGGGAACTCTTCACCGCACCGCTAACGTCGTGGAGAGATTGGTGTCACTCGGTGCTTCGGGGTCAGTATTTGTCAAGGAGCATAGATCTTGGCGCCGAACTGTCTACCTCACAGCTTTAATCTTTGCCTGCAAGATCACGTTGGATCCTCAGCAAGGTCGAAGATGTATTCTGCCTCGAACTGAAGCATATGACATGTCAACCGGTTCCAACAAGAAAATCACGACTTATGGCGAGTATCTGAGTCTTCGGCGGGCGAGTATTGTACAGATAATTAGAGCTTTGCTACCGGGTGGTGATATCTTGGGTATAGATGCAGATGGCTTTACTGGACTAGACCACGTAAAGTTCAGCGGCATTTACAGCGATATCCCAGAGCTTCTAACACCTTTCAAATTCAAGGCTTAGTATTTGCATTTTAAGGACGATAGCATGGGCTATCACGAGGAAAGTTTCGTCGATGCAATAGCACTTAATATACATGACAGGGATGTTGAGGAAAGAGTGTTGCTATTCAGGCGGAAGACTACTTACGTTAGGCCTAATCGTCTATCTTCTTCTTTAGATAATTTTATGTTTACTTTTGTCCCTGTCGTCCCTGTCGTCCCTGTCGTCCCTGTCGTCCCTGTCGTCCCTGTCGTCCCTGTCGTCCCTGTCGTCCCTGTCGTCCCTGTCGTCCCTGTCGTCCCTATAGTCACTATCCCAACCCCTTTCTCTGTCCATATCGCTGTCGCCGCCGCCGTCGTCGTCCCTATCGTCAACTATGCCCACTATCCGCCCGGCTAGCAAAACTCTAAGCAAAGTAGGCCAGGGTAAGATGATACTAGCCAAATCATACTTCAACTCTCCCAGATAGCAACACTCCTGATACCCAAATGCTCAGAAAGCGAAGCATATGGCTGAGATTATCAATGGCGGCAGATGTTTTCGTGTGGGTTGAATCCTTCGTGCAGGTCCTCTGGTGTTGACCAGCTGTTAAGTTCTCTTCGTGCTAAGAATTCTAATATTCTTAAGTCTCTTGGTTTTCCTTCGAGTTGGTCTGCCAGGTGTTGGAGATCTCTGCTAATTGCCTCCTGCAGGGCTAAATCTCGCCTTTGGAAATCCCACCGGGCCTTTCGAGCACGCTCGACCTGAGCAATGCCCCCCGCCATCGCCATCGCAACACAAACAATGGCAACTACAGCGTTTGATGCGTAGATTGGGAATTGACGCTCTGGTGAGCCCTTCTGAGTGAATGAGGCGTCGTCGTATCTCGCACCAGCTGTGGTACTGTGTGACGGGCGAGGTGCTTGCTGAGTCCGCTGTCCGGACTCACTCCAACCCAGTCCATACTTTTCATAGAGCAATCGTTTCTTTGGATCACTGAATATCTTATGTGCCTCGATCACAAGGCGGTAGCGTTCAGTCATAGTTGCGTGCGAAACACTGAACACGCGGGTTTTGTTGAGAGTACGAAGATCGGGGTGATATAGCTTCACGAGCCGGTAGAAGTGCTTTTTGGTGTAAGGCACCCCCGGTTGCGCGCCCAGAATCTCATGGGGTGATGGAAAGGGGGTCCGAGGCCATGGAGCCTCGTCACTGAGCTGACAGGGAGACTTTCGGGGCTTATGCCTGTCCCAGTGCAGGTATCGTCGGTGTGCTTTGAGTAGAGATTGCGGCGCACCGCCCCATTTAACGATGAGAGTCATGGAAAAAGTCGAAGATGAAAGGTTATTAGATTGAATTGACTCAGAGGCTTGGGAGGTATGTTTATGGATAGTAGGAGATCGATCTAGCTGATGGAAGAATCGAGACACGGCGGATGAAGACGGTAATTAAGACTATATATGACTTGGACTTTTTACCTTGATGTACTAGGTGGTTTAAAATAAACGTTGAGTCGCAGCGACTTCGGGGTCAACTTGCGCATACCTGCTCGGAAGCTGAGCCAAACGAGAGGTGCGCATGATTGCTGCATGGTGCCGCCAAGACGTGGACGTTCATAAAGCTTCAAATCTGAAGTACCAAGCTCCATCATAAAGTATAATAAGACAGCATGTACTTGGGCCATAGCCCGAGTAACATACGCCGTGTGTAATCTGCTTGATGCGATCATACTAACCTGTACTGTGGTGTGAAGTAGCGACTGCAATATTCGTCTCGATGAAAATATCTGAATACTCGGGGCACTCGCTCCCGCCAACTAGAAATGAAGATAAAACTCCCACCAGTAAGTGTGTCCAAGTTCATTCGCGCAGTGCGATGCAGAAGCTATCGCGCCACCGCATCCCCGTGACCCCTGCGGCAGTATGAGCAAGTTTCGGTCTCGGAACCTCCACCCAGATACGAGCAGTCAAGGCAGCTGCCAACCGCGATTGACGCATCATTTTTATGATGTATCATACGTCCAGACACAATAAAAGGTTAAGATTGTCCATGCCTACCCGTCTCGTTGTTGACATTGCAGCTTGCGAAAATGGCAGCCAAGATAACCGACAGGTTCACCTTCGTGCCTGAGTTTTGCCTCTCTTTGACGGCTATTAGTCTCTTTTTGAATATATCCTCCAGACACTATCGACTGAAGCTATGGGAAAAGGGGGGCGCCGAGGGTTGGAATTCCAGCCCAAGCCAGCCGGTCTGCTGTGATCCGGACTGTAGTCAGCCTCCTAAGGTTCCGCTGGTCTGGTCGCAGGAGTATGTCATTTCTGTTTTCCCCGCCTCATCGTTCTAAAATTAGACTCAATGCTGATGCTGACTTTTTAATTTGCTTCTCTAGCCTTGTCGACGCCACCCTCGCGGTTGCCATCTTATCTGTAATCCTTATGATTGCTCGATTCATCATGGGCTTTTTCGGTCAATTCTCTCAGATCTTTTCATTATTATACGATGGTCTTCTCGCATTCTTCTGGTTTCACAGCCTATCATCGCAGGCATCGCCAGACTTTTCGGATATGCAGCATCCGAGCCCCCTCCCGTGGTGCTTAACTTGGCAATGCCCAGAAGACCTGGCTACACCTTGTCGGGTCACCCAAGCCAGCTTCGTCATTTCGGCGCTCGCAACGCTCTTCTATACAGCAAGATTCATAGGAACGATCGTGGAAGTAGCAAGGGTCTGGCGCAAGACCCATAGAGACGACGACCAGCTTATCACGGTGCAACTAGATGAGGATGAAAGCATGGGCCGTGAGGAGGCGGCAGCAAGGGAGAAAGAGCGATATTTATATCGTGAAGCTCTTAGTCCGGTGCTTGCCCTTTTTCCTGAAGAAGCGAGGTAGAAAGAAAGGCCACCGTGTGTCAAAAAAGAATTCTATGATACTCTGGACGCAATGATCACTGCCATGAAGATAGCTCGGTGCAAAATATCAAGACAGACAAACCTTATAAAATAGGCATTAGATTAGCTTCAGGAAGGACTGTTTCAAACGAATGCCACCTTAAGGTTAATATGCATAAATGCTAATTAAAGGCCGTGATTCCTTATTAGTATTATAGTATACCCTTCTTTCTTAACACGCATACCATTGATGAAGTCAACAGTAACCAGCATTCGCTCGACTACCCCGCAAAAGCTTTGATGTCAACCTTCCGCACCACTTGTCGGAGAAACTCTTCCCCCAAAGCACTCTCAGACGTTAAATGGTCCCAATTTCCGTCTAGACACGCAATCACGGCTTCTTGGTAAGCCTTTCCCATTCGATGCGGTAATCGTTCTCTGGCATCTTGCAAGAATATTTCCTTCAGCTCATACGGGTCTATCGAGACCTTGCCGTTGGGACCAGGCTCCGCAACCTCATCATAGGTATCTCTAGCCGTTTGCCAAAGTCCAATCTCAAGTAGAACAACGCCTAATGAGTAAATATCATGCATCTTGATATAACTGGTGTTCGGCAGTCCATGGCGATCTGGGTGACGATATACCTCATAATCCGGATCAAAAGCCTGCTGAATTAGCCGCGTGACTCCTCCAACGGGCCGTGAGAACTCGAAATCCGTTAGGTATGGGCTTTTGAAGTCACAAAAGATCTTAGGTTCTTTCTTCATAAAGAAGAACTTGATTGCATGAGACCGAATGCTTTTGTGAAGCCATCCATCCGAGTGAAAGATGCCGACAGCACTGGCTATAGTATGTGCAACGTAGAAACGATCGCCAAGTTCCAGCTTGTCGTGCTGAAAGTCCTTGGATAATATTAAGTCGTTGAGACTCTTCGGCTTGTGACTGGATGCATTTGCTGGGTAGTTGAAAAGAAACATGTACTGAGCTTTCTCAGCATCCCAAGCATATGAGTTGAGTTGCAGTGTGCGAAAGGAATTCTGTCCTGCAATGTGAAGAAGACGAGCCAGTTGTTTTCCATACAACTCCTCTTTTCGACGAGCTGCGTCCCTGTGGCCAATGTGTAACTCATTCTCTTGACTAGGCAGGGTGATAAGCTGTTTGAACTCTACCAAAACTCTTGGCTCGGAAGCTTTGGCCTCTGCAATCTCACATGAGACGAGGTTGTCTACGCAATTGTTAGCTGGAGACAATGGTGAGTGTTCGATCTACGCCTACCATCGTCATCCTTCGTTGATATGCTGAGAAGGTTCTCCTTGGTTGACTTGTTCAAGCTAACATGCCGTTGAAAGAGATTCACTGGGAAATCATCGTTACCATCGTTGTGGAGTCGATATTGTAGATTTCTGTTGTGTTCGTAGAAACCGAAACAAGATAGCAGTTGGGCGACCAGTTCTTCAAGCTGCTTGTTCCAGTCCTCGAGCTCATGAAGGGTTTTGAATAATTCACTCTTCTGGAAGGCCCATTGAACTCCGGCTGGGAGGTTGCTCCAAAGAAGTTGCTTCTTTGATGGTTGAGAAGATCTTACGATGCCGCGCCGGAAGACTGGGAAATGCCACCATTTCGGCTTCGCAAAAGAATGAATTGAAACATTACTATCGATATTCGAAGTGGGATCTTTGGACTTGATGTCCGTGCTATCATCATCAATCTGCAAATTTTCAGGGTCCGATTTGCAATCAGGACTAAGAGGGGAAAAGCGCCGATAGTCATCGTCGAGGTTTGCGGCAAGCTTGGCATACTTCTCCAGAATCTTTTGCAGCCTCATCAACACGTCGTTCAATAGCTCAAGGTATAACTGTGAGGGTTAAGCACCACCCAATGAAGTTTTCATCGTTTTGAGAACACAAACCTTCGGAATCGTTTCCAAAAGTTTCATGTCCACAGTGTTTCCGTCGCTGAAAAGCCGCGACAAGTTCCTGAGACGATAGATCTGGATGGTGTACCGTGTCAAGAGTTCCGATTGCTCATCAGCATGGCCCTTCATAGTCTGGACCGTTTTCTTGATGAACTTGACCGTTATATATGTGTCTTTGAAGACGGCGACGACACCTACGGCCACGCTGAAAGGGTCCATGATTCACGAAGAAATGGTCAATCCGCCAAGTTGTTGAAGGAAGTCGGACGTCAAGTTCTAAGCATGACATGAAACAAAAGCCTCAAATCTACCATCACTGCCTTATGTCCATCTTACATTTACCCCTCTTTTTATTGGAATTTGTTACTTGTCGCTTTACGATTGGTGGGCAATGCGAATCGCTCGACATGCATATACGAAGGTACTGTGCATAAGCGACGCGTTATCAGGGCGACAGCCTGATCTTGCCTGCTCATGCAAACCTCTGACTGTTCACGTCGCATTCTTCAAACTAGCTTGTTGGCTGTCCTTGGACCCGCCTCACATTCATCTACAGTCAGTCCCTTTCGACACTTCAGATTCGGCGATGTCGGACGACGAGGGATATGTCCGCCACCCGGACGAGGAACATGTCCACCCCGGAGATGTTGGAGACTCCACTGTTGTCGGGCAGCGGCACCTTCGTCCGCGCCTTCTCACCGTCGATCGAACTGGAAAGCGCAGAGCCAAACCACACCCAAGGCCCCGTGACCGCCCGCGTCCCTCGAAAACCCTGGTGGATTTGCAGTCTGAGTTTGCAAGACGCCATACCACCATCCGGCAAGAAACAGGAGGTGATCCAGTTACAATTCTGAACCGCCTTCTAAGCACCTTGCAAGAGAGTGGGATTCCGGGGCCCCAGCTATTTCGACTTCACAAAGAATTTTGCAAGCCACTTGGGCAAGGTGGCCAGGGGAACGTGCGTGCCATTACAGATGAAGCAGCTCGAGATTACTATCGATTCGAAAGTCAGCAAGTCCACAAAAGCTGGCCTGTAATGCGAATCGCTATTAAACAGCATCTGGAAATAAAAAGCGGAGAAGCCCAAAGGAAGAAGTTCAACCAAAAAGATCTGTGTTATAGGTTTCGGGCGGCAGAATGCGAGGTACTCGCTCTAGCCCCCGGGCTTTTCCACGACCATCCTAATATTGTTAAACTTGTCGGTTGGGGACTTTGTCTTGACACGGTTGAAGATCCTGGCAGTCCATGTTGTGGCGGTTTACAACTTCCACTTCTTGTTTTCGAACGGGCGGATATGAATCTGGCTCAATATCTGCAGGACTTATTCACTGACGGTGACGATTCTGAGTTTGAAGAGTTTGAGGAGTCTCTAATGGAGGAGGGCTTTGCAGCATCAAGTCAGAGTTTCCCTTCAACATCGCCTACGCAAGGCATTTTGAACTTGTTCTGGAAGACGAAAGCGAGTCACGAACTCCAAGTTTACGAGCTTGTGCGGCGCTTATGTATCGACATCGGCCATGGTCTGCAAAGCCTTCACGAAAACAATTTCACGCATGGCGATTTGAAGCCGGAGAATGTCCTCATTTTTCAATACGCGGATAAGGTTACGGCAAAGCTTTGCGACTTTGGATGTGCGAAAGGACCTAGCCAGGATCCAAGCATAGTCAAGAAGGATGACATTGCCATCGACAAGCAAGGCATCGACGCGAAAGCGGGCAGGACTAAGGACTCTTATCTTGGGACACCAGGCTGGATACCACCCAGCGGCGAGGTCCGTGCAGCTCATGATTTTGACGGCCTCCGTCGATGCGATCTCTATGTTTACGGACTCGTTGTCTGTAGTTCGTTCTTATTTGCGGGGCGCCCTTACCCAACGCACCCTAATCTGGACAGTATGCTTGGTCACTTGCGCCAGCTGGATACGCCCGGAAGAAATATCCCTTTCTCGTGGAAAAAGTCAAAGAGACGCATCTTTGATCAAGTAACGCGAGTTTTAGAGGACACGATGAAGGCACCAGAGGAGCGCGGTCTTTTCCCGTGGAGGCTTTTTGGGTATCATCACAAGCAATTGCGGAAGCAAACCATAGAGTCAGATCAGGATTTCGTGACAAGATTCAAGATATGGCTCGGAGGTTCTAAAAGAGGGTCTCCAGGGACCGATCTCAGCCTCGAGACGAAAGCGGCTTATGCTCAACAAGACTGGTGGAAACTTGTGCCCGATGAGTGTAGCGAGTCAGGGACCACGTCGAGCCAGTCGACAAGTCTGGAGACTCCTACAAACACGCCTGCAGGAACGAATGGAAATAATCAGTCCGGGCCGGCATCATACTTCCTATTCGACGAAGATAACAGTTGTCACAAGACCGACATGTTCAAAACCGGGAGACGCAAGGAAGACGCCATGCAACTCCCTGGCCTGATGATATTAGCAATACTAAAGTTGGATGCTGATCGTGGGAAGTTATACTACCTCGCACGGTTTCGAAGCCGCGTCCCAAAGGAATGGTGGAAGCATTACGCTCCCAACATTCTGCAGATGGCATTGCAAGCAGCCCCGGCTGTCGACATCCATACTCTTGCTTGGCTCTGCCGCGGCCCGATCGGGAAAGCCGAGGTAAGGAGTCTACAAGCCGACAGGATGACGTGGGGGCACATCATGACTAGGGGCGAGTTAGACGAGTCTTCAAGATTGGATCGGTTCCTCCTCCTGCTGCAATTTGGGGCTCATATAGATCAACGGATGGAAGGACAACATGGAAAGACCAAGAGTATTTACACAGCGTTCCTCAAATCTTTCCCTTCACGGCCAGCGATCACAAATACCTTGTCCATGCAAGTTATCTGGAGAGTCGACGACGCTATGGCAGACAACCGTATTCGCCTTCCGAAATGGACGTACAGCTACGTAGCACACGTTATACGCAATCCGAATTCCAGCATGGTTGATCAGTCAGAGAGATCACCGCTTGTTGAACTGCCAATTGGATGGAGAGTCATACGACAGAAATTGACCGAACCAGAGCTCATTTGCTACAAAGATATGTTCACGCAGTCCATGACTCTTACCAAGCCTAAGGTCAGCCTTCTTCAGATGCGCCAGCTGCCTATTGGACTTCTTCAGGTGCCTTTAGAAGGCTTGACATGTCATGTTGATCTGCTCGCCTGTATGCGTGCAGGATCTGGCCCTGAAGAGGCTGGCAGTCTTGCGCGCCGTCTCGACGCACGTTTCCCTTACTACGGCGACGCGTGGTTCGAGACGGAATTCAGTATTGAACCCAATGTCGATGATGTCTTGGGGGCCATGTCAAATTCGCGGATTCGCTCATTTGTTGCCCGTCTCGGCATCTTTCGTGGCTACGATGCTGCTTTCATGACTGGCCTTTTTCTTATGTCAGTATGTCTTACAGGACTTATTATTCTAGCAGTGCGACTCATGATACACCGGAAATATGAGGGTGGCATTTGAAGGGTCTGGAATATTGCGTTGATGTGGTGCGTTTGTTGATTTGCTTGAACATGATTCGAAAACGAAGCACCGAGAACTTGAATGGGGGCTACATTACTGCGGACGTTTTCTTGGTAGTATCAGCGGGGTTCGGGGTCTATGACGATAAGAGCACAGCCTGTGGAGAAACTCATTGCATTTGCGTGTATATGAGAATGTCAACTGGCCGTCTACCTGCAAAGTGCCCTTGCAAAGAAATTCACCAGCTTTGGTCCACTCCTTGACACATTCTGGTACAACTCAACGTGACCAGCCCCATCAATGACGGAAGGTTCCTTCGGCTCTTTGGCCCTCTGGCGAATTTGTTGACTATGTGTGAATGTCGTTGCTTCGTTTCCAGCAACCAACAGCAGAGGCCGCGGCGAGATCCATTCAATGTGTTGAAATGAATCAAATGTGACGAGAAGCTCCATGCTCCTCGTCACCATCTCATTGGTGCATCTGTGATTACTCCACCGAGGATCATTGTAGTATGCCCTGATGTCCTCCCTCGGATGAGAAAATACGTCCAGGATGCTGTGAGTCACTGACGCCTTGCCTTCCATCTCGTCGATCCGAGCCTTCGCGGCCTGCTCCAAGCCTTGGGACATTTTCACGGCGTTGATTTGTCCGGTTGCTCGATCCTTCATGCCTTCTCGGGTCAAAGTGCCAAAGCACATTGTAGATACGCCGGCGACAGCCTGGATGCGCTGATCTGTTGCTGCAGCGCTCCCTCCGTAGCCTGCAGAGGCGCAGACGCCTACACAGCCAATTCGAGATGGGTCGACTACGTCGTTTCCGAGGGTTGAGAAATATGTGACGGCGGATTTGATGTCTTCGACACGTTGTGCTGGATCCTCTAAGCCTCGGGGCAAGCCCTCGCTTTCTCCCTGGTAGACTGCATCAAAGGCGAGGATGATGAACCCTTCAGAGGAAAGGGCCTTGGCGTACAGGCCGGAGGCTTGATCTTTAACACCTGTACCCTCAGGGTGACCAACAACGATTGCAGCATTCTTGCGGTCGAAAGCTGACGCGGGAGGAAGAAAAGATTTGCAAAGATCTTCAGCCCGCGGCTGTCGTAGGTTGCCTGGCGTGATGTTGCCATGACTCTCGTATGTTGTGCTGGCTGACGTCTATGATGCCCGTGATTGGCACTTGAGTGGCCTACTCCTTTGTATTTATCCTTACATAATTATCGCAATGGTTTGCATAAGACAATTCCGAGGTTAACATTCACTCATAGAAGTTAGTAGTCGACCTCGGCTGAATCTTGGCAGTAGGGCGTAGGGCGTTCAGTAGCTAGGATTGCTATACTATAAATCGCATCCACGTTCCATTTTCTGGACTCCAATGCTCCAGTAGAGTTCAATGTTCAGCGACATTCGGCGAATCAGTTAATGCAAAGTTGCGGAGTTATCGGCCTCTCTGGATACTTTACGAAAACGACTACCTAGTACTATTATGAGAGTCGAGCAAGGTTCATGGTTACCTTCGTTAACTCCGTGATATTGAGGTTACCGGATTTTTGGAGGACCCTGAACATTTGAATTCTATTTTCAGTAAGCTTGTAATTGATATGGTCTTCGTCCGAATGAATCTGAAAGGGTTGTGGGCTTTTTACTAAGCCTCATAGTAGTGGTGGTTGACATGAAAGTAAGCGGGAAAAGCCTTTCCTGAAGCAGCAGCTCAGTACTGGTCAGCACGGTGCTATAAGAGAGCGTTCCTCATTTGGATAGATTCCAAGATGAGGAGATGTGCCTTTTGGTTGATTTAGACCAAAGCACATGGCAAGATTAAGAACCAGCGGCGCGATGATTTCAACGCACACTCAGCGAGCGACTTGCTGACGACTTACAGGCCTAGGCCTTAACTCTATTCGCAGAGATGCTGCCAGAAATTGTTGTCTTTCCAGAATTGAACGATCTGAGCACTACTTTTGACGGAAGCAGTCTCCTGGACTGAGGTTGAAGTAGTTGCGTCCTTCCACAAGTTCACCTGCTTCAAACCTATTTGGTAAAGCAAGAACTTCAGCAGCCCACTGTATTTCCGACACACAGTATCTAAAGTTCACCTACGTGGTGACGCAAAGTTTTCAAATAAATCTAACGCGCAACGAAAGGTTCATGTTGCTGTCTCCAAGCCTTTGTAGTGACTGACATTGAATCTCCTACCTAGAGCTTGACAGGTATAATTCAGGACCCTGACTCGTCTTCATCCTGTGTTCTTTACATGCGATCTTCAGATATGAACTTTCACCCTTTCCAGATGACTGAGAGTCCAGTGTATGTTATGTTTCTTATTGAGTAAGATAAAAGGGTTAGGCTTCAGACAACCCTGTCTCAAGTTCTCGATGTGTGAATGACTCGATGCACTCATCCTTTCACGCTATGCCAGGCGTCCCCTGTCTTAATTGCATGAAATATCAGATTTTGGAACACCAGATCTTATGACTGTCTTGGTGATCATTCACATCCCCCTATAGAGCGGCATCCACTGTCATTGTTAATAGTATTCCTATGCATGGCTTACATTGGATCTAACACCAACGATTTCGAGCACCGTAATTAGAACCTATCGGATATCATACGTCGGGCCACTTTTTAGATCGCCGAATGTCGCCAGTTTCTGAGAAAAGCGGTCCAGAATTCAGTTGTCCTTATCATAACCCATGGCCTTCACACCTTAACTGAGTTTGCCGAAAAATACATGTACTAGCAATGTTTCTCTACCTTCAGAAAGCATCGTCAATCCCCTAGAAAAGGGGTCCAGATTCTAACCTCTTATCAGCATAGCCCGCAACCCCACTCACACCTTAAATGAGTCTTCCCGGCATCATATGCACCCCGAATCTTTATCTTCTACGATCTGACACAGACATAAACGACCCGCCGTCGGCGACCCGGAAACAGCCGTCTCCTCTTGATAAGCGCAGTGGCCAGTAGTCTATGCTATGGCCGCGAGCCACCATGCACACTCGAAAGCAGCGGCAAAAACCGGAGTCTTACAAGAGCCCGAGCATAGATTGAAGAGCATCCGAACGGTCATGACTCAAAGATCACTGAATGGGTAATGTAGCTCAGCCCTATCGGTATGCATCACGTTTCATCCGGCCACGGGGTACGGGGTCTAGACAGTCGCACTATCCTTTAAATGCTCGGAAACTGCAAAACCCCTTCTGAATCCCGAACTCACTAGATCCAAATTCCCATAATCCCTTTAAACAGGAAAGATATCAAAGCAGCACATGTCGGCAGTCAAGCTTTAGCAGGAACGGCGGGTCAAAGTACGTCCGCGCGGTGGGATGGGCAGCAGCACATGGCGAATATGCAGATAGGGCAATAAGCTTAACCTTTCATTCTCAAAGGCAAATTGAAGGAATGAACCAGATCCATTGAACAAAAAGACCCCTCATTTCGACCTTCGAATAAGCTCAAGCTCAAGCTGTGTCTGAAGGAGCTTGGGACAGACTTCGAACCCTTCGGCGATTTGACTTCGGCAACATTGATCCGTCAAAGGCTATCACCTTGACACCCGAGTTTAACGAGAGATAGCTATGCCATAATCCATGACGATTTGATCTGCCCACCATCCCGATAACCTCAGAGTTCGTCTCGTCCCATTACGAAATCCCTCCCCCGTCTACTTCCCTCCCAGCTGCCTCGCCTTATCCAGACCCCCCCACCCTTTGCTTTGACAGCTGAGTAGATCGTCCCATCTAACTTCTGACACATTGTATCCCTTCCCATCCCTCACCATGTTCGGAGAAAAACAGGTGACAGCCCGAAAACCCCAGAGAATCTCACCCCCTGTTCCTACACCCCCTCAACCCAGCCGACGAATCGCATCCATTCCAGCCCGAAACATACACAAATACTGATTCGCCCGTGGCACGGAACCCGCACACTCACAACAACTGACAGAAAGCGAACACAGACGAGACTCTCAGACGTTTTTTGGACACATAACGCTCAGTCTTTCTGCGACCGCGACTGGACCGCTCGCGCGCTCCGTACGCCGCAGAACACAAGCGTCAAGCGTCAAGCGCCTACCAGTCTTTTCGCCACGCCCTGGTTCTTCCTGAATGTCTCGCATACGCCCTCAACTCAGACGGGGCCCGGCACACAGCTACCTTTTCGCCAAGAGAATTATGACTTCTGAGCCCCCCGAAGTTCGCCGCTTAGTCAGGGAATCATGAAACGAGGTTGCCGTTTGGCCCCATCACGATCTTGCCACCGTTTTTGACGGATTCCAGTTTCATGAAGCGCCAGACGCCAGCAGGATGGCTCTTTGTCGACCCATGCACTAATATGAATATCTCTGCATTGTGGCAGAAGCCCATACTCATCGGAGACCTGGAGACTCCGCTCGCTGTCTTCTAGATAAATCAATTGGAGCTTGTATAGCAGTAGTTGTTCATGATTGATGCTCACATGATGGCTACGTCCGTTTCTTCGCAGTCACTATGCCACCAAATGAGATCTTCCTGGCGAATACGTATGACCGCAAGGCCAATCCGTCGGAAAAACTCATGTACTTTTCCTCCTGGCTCCAATACCAAGACATACGCAATTCCACAAGAATCCATTTCAACGATTGCAGCGAGAAATAATATTACACATTCATGGTCACAACTCTGCGGGTACGTAGAGGTCCGACCGCCAAAAGAGTCCCAAAACAAGTCGCACACGCCGTTGACTGAAGGAACCGAAAGAAAGCGCCTGGGATCATCAGGAAAGAATTGTGCTTTGTTGAAGGAGCTCTTTGATTGGACAATTGGAGATATGGATAAAGTTCCTTTCGATGGAGTGTCATTCTCGAAGCGGGCGATGACTGCCGGAGCTGTTTTCCCGCGGAGTATCAGTCTAGCACCTCTGACTCGCCCGTACGGATCGGTACCCTCTGGTGAAGTAGAAGCAAAGATCGTTTTCATACTCCATAACAGCGGAGCATTTTCTGTATGAATTGGGTCCGGGTAGGTGATTGGTGTGGGTAGTGAAACCCAGGACCAGCTGGGACCTAGGTACTGTGCCTCCATCGGAGAATCAGGCTGATTACCCGGGCTACGTCCTTCCTCGTTGTACCACAGCAAGGATCTTTGGAGATCATTTTTCCAAAGACCAGCGACGTACTGGTCAGGTATTGGGGGCGGAAGACGATGGACGATACCGGAGATCGCCGGCAAACGGTCGGAAAAGAACGTGAGCTCGCATCTGGAATACTTCTTTACTCCTCTCCTCCACCAGCTGTAATATTCTCCTGGCTGTCTCTCAGTGAAGGAAAGATATTGCGGTCTTTGGCGAAGCCCGAAGCCCTCCCCTTGATGGGACATTTCGTATCGCGTGCCCCTTCTGCAATCGAGATACATCTGCGTCGAACCGAAATTGAGTGTGCGCCTCGACAGGAGACTCTCTTGGAAAATCCAGGCGCGTCGTAAGAGTACTGAATTGTTTTCGGTTTTGTACGGATAGATTTTCTTCGCGTGATCCCTATGGCCGGGATAGTACATGGTCAGAAGACTCTGAGACATGCCGTGCTCATTGCGATACTGCAGTGTAGTTTGGTACAGGTAAGATGGCTCGTCAAGGAACGACCGGTCATGCAGCAACCCTGCATGCGAGTCTTTGGCCGTGGGGCCGGCCAGAGTGACCACCGAGCCCTGGTAAATCGACGCCATACGGGGACATTCGTGCTCCCAATCCGTCTTGTCATCCTGTACAATGCACAGAGAGTCAATCCAAAGAAAACAGTAACCCAGCGCATCAGTTACCGTGATGGCGTCTCTGAATGTTGCAGGAAGCTCGGAGGTCTTAATGCCGATGCGTATACGGTCATTAAGATTGTCTCTTGTCGTGGATGGACTGTTGGTGCCTCCCCAAACATGACTGAGAGTGGTGTACTCGTACTGCAGCTCGATTTCGGTCGGTTGCAACCACACTCGCTTGCCTCCTTTCTCAATTCTAACAAGACGAGTGGGAAGTTCGGTCTGAAGAAATGGATTAGGAACATGTCTAAAAACACATTCTTTGTCGAAATGCTGACACTCCGAGATCCATTTCTGAGCTAGGCTTAGATCTGGTGTCCGCGTGCAGCATCTGCCATCGAAACCGCCGTGGGTCAGATGTGGCCCATCATCTGCACATAAGTCAGCTCGAGGGATTTGGCTCAAATCATTGTCAAAGTTTCTAGCCAAGGTATGTTGAGCTCACCATCATTATTTCCAAGGATAAAATCTGCATCTACCTGGGGGTGATCTCCCGATCGGTCACAATATGTGACCAGGCTCCAATTGTACACATGATTCCGCCATTGGGTCCGTGGGTTTTTGTTGAGACCATTGAAGCCCACCAGACAATCTGCATCGTCATTCCTAGCGGCTGTCTCGCCAGATGATCGGATGACGAGGTCTTTCACGTCCTCGAATAGTGTCTCGATTTGTTCCGTCTTTGTGAATGCAGAAGCTCTCAGCCTCTGTCGATGTGAATGCAAGCATCCGTTCCTGAGCACTGTACAGAGCTCACAGCCGCTCAGAGCCGAGTCCCGCAGGCCCTTCCAAGTTGCATGGTGGAGGAGTTGGAATTGGGGAGGAGATGTGCCGCCTGGCGATGGCAGTAGAGGGCGTAGATATAAATCCTCGAAAAGCAAGCAACGTTCACAGAGCTTCGATGTCAGAATGTGGGATGGTGGGCTTGATGTTCTTAGTCTGCTGTCGATCTGATCATCCCAGCTGCCGGTTGATCTGTCGATGTGGTATGCTGTAAGACTATCAAAGAAGGCATTCTCGTAGGACGTCCTTCGCGAGGAAAGGCTTTCATTTGAGGATAGATTTTCAGACAAGAATGAGGAGCACGCCAATGAAGGCGATGGTTCTAAAGACGATGAACAATCTGAAGTAAGCACCGCCCCGGGTGACGACGACCTCTCAATCTCAGGAAACCAAGATGTGGCGGTGGACATTATCGACAGATTCGAATATCGAGTGAGGGTATACCTGTATTATTGCCGACAATGCAAGATTGAAATCAGGAGAAAAATATGGAGGAGGATCTCTCGACACAATAACTGCCGGGCCGCCCTCTTTAGAGAGCGCACATATCCCATGTCGCCATGCGTCAGCCTGACCTCCAACTTGATTGTGCTGCGACTTTGTGATGCAGGGGCACGCTTATGAAAATACTACTCTACAGCAACCTTGTCCAATCACGCAGGGATCCCAGATGTAAGACGCCCGTTTTGGCTGCGTTGGACCAGGCTGACCTCTTCAGCCGGTGTGCAGGTGGAGGGCGCAGTAGATGCGTTTGCCATAAGGAGCTAGCACCTCGCGATCCTTCAGATTTGTTCTGGCAAAAACTTCGATCGGCTAGGATCTCATACGTTTCATCTACAGCTGATCCCTAATCACCTCCAGAGCATGTTTGAACCGACCAACCTCGAACTCATCAATACCCAGCTTAGTCGCCGTGACAAACAGTTCACCGAGTCTTCCAAGCCAATCCTCCACCATGCATTGAATCTCAGATCTAAGAGAAACTCGGCGCCATTCGCTCCCCACAAGCCAGCGTAGTCTTCTTCAGAACAGCTAATAAACGCGGCGCGCTTTCCCGTCACTTCACCCCATGTTTTCACCACATCTGGATGTGTGCACCACTACATCTGCACCAACGCATATTTTCCCATGTATTTCTTCGGGCGCGCCAAATATGTCGGGCCCAGACGCCAGGCGTGGCCGTCACGTCTCCTGACGTTTGCACACCCGTCCCAGGGCTGCACGGTAAAATCGACACATGGTTCCCTTTGGTCCTCAGCTACATCACCATTTAAACAATGACGCTGTTGATATTCTCGACCCGCGTCGTTGCTGTTTACCACCTCAAACGGTCTAAACATATCCAACGAAAAGTTAGAAGGACAGAAGACCACAAAGACACTCGTCATACGTCCCGAAAGGCCCGGAAGCTCTCTTCTGATGCTCTGTTCGGCACGCGCCTCGGCATATTTGTGTGGATGGGTTACATTCGCCCGTAAGACTGGGCGAGCTCGGCTTAGTGCTGAAGATGCAGTGCTCCAAAGCCTCGTTCGACACCACAGTCCGAGGGTGCATGCCTCATCGACGGTGTGCTTCGCCGCGAAGAAAGTCCCATCAAGGAGCAGTCGCTTCGTGAGAATGGGAAAGCTCAGGGGTTTTTCCGCAGGTGTAAATCGCAGTTGTTTTATTCAGCATACTGACTGGTATACTACCTACTACAGCTAGGTGTACCGATTTCCATCATCCGGACTTCAGCATCGGGTAGCCGATCACGGCCTCAAGCACAGGCCACCATTCGCATCGCTCGTATTTCCTGTAACCTAAGTATCCTTGCTGAAGTATTCCGTGAAGAGATGCGCAAATATGTCCGGCCGATTGTAATGACCACCAAAGTCGTGCGTGTACTTGGCAACCACGGTTTCTGTTAGGTCAACCTCCGCGACCAGGAGCGTTTCGCCTGCTTCTGCTGGACCAGCAATGACCTCACCCATAGGATCTATGATGGTTGATAAACCAAGCTTTCGTTCCTCGGCAATCAACTTTCTTTCATCATCTGGTGGCTGCCAAGCAGCAATTGCGTCGTCTCCGATGACCGCGCAGGCGTTGATGACGAAGGCCTTCATTGTGTATGCAAGAGCTTTTGACGCAATCAATGTGCAGTTGTAAAGAGACCATCCACCAGCGAAATGAGTCGGCCAGGACGCAACATGCACAGTTGGACTGTCGGTCGCCACAAGATTGTACGCAGCAAGTGGGTTGGAGTTCTCCCCGCAGATCAACGTTGATAGACCGCCGAAGTCCGTTTGAATAGCTGCTTGAGATCCAGTTGTGCCAGGCATGTGTGGTAGCCGTTCCATTGTCGTGGGAACATATTTCTGATGTTTTAGTAAAATATCACCGCTTGGTCCGAAGACCAATTGTGTATTCCACATTGTTCCAGTCGTATTTTCTCGTTTCTCAGAGCAACCGATGACGGCATAGATGCCCGCTTTGCGGCATGCTTCACCTATCAGTTCGGTCTCCGGGCCAGGAACAGAAATCGCGTTTTCGAAAAGCTTAAGGTGAAGGTCGTATGCCAAGTTGCTGTCGACAGGATGATAGGAGAACCAAGAAGGATATCCTGGCAGAAAGGCTTCAGGAAAGCCTAAGACAGTGACATTTTGTTTCCCAGCTCTGTCAATCCAGTCGACAATGATGCCAGTCGTGCCGGCACGATCAAGGTAGGCGGGCTTGACTTGAGCGGCCGCAATCTTGATTTTCTTAAGGTTTGGCTCGGCGTGGAGTTTCAAGGCATGCGCCACTGATAAAAACGCAAAGGTAAGGGCGAAGGTGTTTGCAATCATGTTGCTGAGAGAGGGATCGGTGTGGAAAGGCTATTGTGGGGGCACTGAAGAATGCTGGCTCGGGATGAAATCAGACTGGAGATTGAGGGTTTTTGTCCGCGTTTTGAACTTGTTTGAAGGATATCACTTATCCATCCGCATTACCTTCGCCTCATATAAGTATTGGTAATGGATACTTCGAGTTATGATAATTCAGAAGCAAATATTTAATTGGTTATAGACGGTACTACCTCAGTCGGTAAGTGCTAGCGCTGGTCCCATTCTTGCCAAGGATCACGGTATTAACCTTGATGTCATCTCTTATCACGTCTTGAAGACTTCTTATCATACGACAGAGATTTGTAATTACTAAACAATCCGGTGATTATCAATCATCAGGCAAGCTATCAAGACACAAGATAGCATAATTTGACTAAGAGCGATCCGCAGGTTCGAGAAACGTTGGACACATAGGAAACACTAATCTCTTCAGATCAGTGTCGATTTCGTTTGAATGGTTTTAACCCTGCGCGCTATGTACTGTGGTTAACTTGCACTTGATGGGATGTATTTTGGTTGACTCGGGGATGGCTAGCATTGGCAAAGTTGAGAATGATTTACAGACCTTAACACGGATCTCCCCACTATCTCTCATCAGCTCGCTAATAGTTCCTTGCGTGACGACGTCACAAACTGTCGGGATCAAGCAGAGCCGTGGTTTTAACACGCGAAGATTCACTGTGAGAGCTATTTGAAGTTATGAATCTGCGAACTTGCTCCGAGCCCTTAGAGCAGCACCCCAATAGTTCAAAGTCCAGCTCCCAACAATGCCAATGGTACTGAGACCTCCTAACAAGGAACAGCCACGAGCGATTCCTAAGTTCTCGAACAAAGGCCTCGCGTAGAGAATACTGGCAAAAGCAAACGTGCCCCTGAAAAAGTCATTTGCAGCGAAGAGGCTCGCAGAGAATCGAGGATAAGACAGCGGAATATATGCAAATACGCATTGCAAAATGATGAATGCGCTCCCGCTGTAGATCGTGATGCCAATCGTTGGCACAATCCAATGGATGCGTGGCGAGGAGGTCCAAGCAAAGACGAATAAGCCGACTGTCGGGCCGAAAGACGCAGCAAGGGTCGGAAGTAGTCGCGTCTCCTGTTCGACGACAGACTTTGACAAACGCATTCTCGGGATCATGTAAAATTTCAAAAAGATGAAGTAGAATCCGGCTCCGAGAATGCACGCAACCAAAATGCACAGAAAGACAATGCCGACCTCGCCTGTTGTCATGCGGTATAAGTTTGTATAGACGATAGGGAAAACTTCAAAGAATGAATAGTAAATGCCGTAATTGATAGCTGTGTAAACTTGGACGAAAAGCACAGCCGGGTCTTTGACGGTGATCTCAAGCGGCTTAACAAGAGCTTCTTTGAGAACATGAGATGCTGTCAGTTTTCGAGACTCGATCTCATCAAGACTTTGCAGGTCACTCCGTCCAGTCAGGCGGCGCAGTCTTTGTGCTCTGTGATGGATAATGGTTGGTCCGGATGTTTCTGGCAACAAGAGCATCGGGAGTAGTGTTGGGCCCGACAACAAGAGGATCTCCCACATGGACCAGCGCCAGCCCATCACCGGCACCGCAAATCCGGACAGCAATGGCCCGATCGCGGGGGCTACAAAGCTAGCACTAGTCCAGGTCGTGAGAGCGAATGGTAAACCCTTCGGTCCGTAGATGTCGTCCAGCGTTGCGGCGCCTGAGGCAAGACACGGAGAACCAAAAAAGCCTTGAAAGAACCGGCAAGTTAGAAAGCCGGCCCAGCTTTTTGTGAGCGCAGTTGGAACAGACACAACGACGTAGAGAGCCATCGTTAATGTGTATATGGGACTGCGACCGATGCGAGGAATTTCAGAAAGAGGGGAAAATAGGAGAGGTCCAACGCCATAGCCTAGGACGAATAGAGCTAGTCCTAACGAGGCCTCGACATGCGTGACGTCGAATTCAACGATAACGTCCTCGATAGCTGAAATGTAGATGGCCGAAGATGTGTATATAGCGAACGTGTATAGGCAGATGATGAGAGTGATTAAGACTCGACTGCGATTCGTCCAGTTTCTCGGGTTTTCAGGGTCGTCAGGTGCATACCAGCCCACGGTCGTATTGCGATGACCAGTGGAAAGGTCATCTTGGTTGCCGGGAGACTTATCGGCGATTGGGTGGGGTTGAACGGTGTTAATCGTAGAAATCGCTGTATTACAGCTGTTGCCAAAGTCCCCGTAACGGGACAAATGCAACTTGAAGTCGGGCTGCTCTTCGGGATAGAGAAGGAGTCGGCGATTTGAAATTGCCCTGAGTAGAACGCCTATTGGAGAATATCGTAGCTGTAAGGCCATTTTTGAGAGAAACAAAAGGTGCTGGTGCGTGGGTGAAGCCAAAAGAATAAAACATTGGATGGATCAAGAGCAAATCAGCCCGGTGTAAGGAACTCGAATGGTCTGGAGAGCTTTCCATTCAGGGAAACATTAAGTCAACGACGGCAGAAGATACGTCTATCTAAGTGTCACAGAAAAAACAAGCTGATCGAATTTGGTTAAACATTTGTACGAAGCCATTTCTACGAGGAAGAAAGTGATGGCCGACACAAACGCGGCCGACCTCGGGCGAGTTGATGGGAAATAAGAGACATCACAACTCCACTTATTTAACTCCATCATTCTTGAATCGGAGAGATCCCTGTAAGGCACCTCAGTGTTATCCGTACAACTGCTGCGATTGAGGTCCAGGCTCATTCCGTAACGGTCCGAAATGACGTAGGGTTCGACCCTTCCACGGCCGAGTCTCGGGCGAGTTTAGCGCCAATAAGGTTGAGCCATCGGACATTTGTACTTTCAGACCACACGAGTTCACTAGACCCTTCAACTCTGCGATTGCACCAGAAGCAGGGCTATTACCATGACATCGGAGTTACGCTCGTCACAGCGCACCGTGAAATCTTGCACTTTCTGCGCGAGGCGCAAGGTGAAATGTGACAAGAACCTGCCATGCCGCAATTGCCGGGTCCGGGGCCAGGCCGAATCTTGCGCCGCTGAGCTTGTTCGAGTGAAAGGCCGCCCGCCGTCGGCGGAGGATGCTCAGCCAACCTATGCCGAACTACTTGATGAAAACCGCGCTCTCCGAGAGGAGTTGGCGTCTTTGAAGGCAGACCCTGTGCAGAGGCCGGCGCGTCCGGGGAGGTGCATTCGGCTGCATAAGATCGATGACCTCGAGAACTCACTATACAACCGTCTTAGGAGCCACTCACGGGAGTTGACAGTCAAGAGGAATGAGGACGTCGTGCTGCCCTCAAAGCAACTTAGCCAGTCCATTCTGACTCACGGCGCCAACTGGGTTCCCTGGGTCAACTGCTCCTTGAACCCTGCGGAATTCCAAGAAGCCCACGACAAGTTTTTCACGGAGCTTGGTGAGGCAGGCTTCCACGAAAATAGTGATCCAGCATGGCTAGGATTGTACTTCGCGTACCTAACGGCAGGTCTAGTCTGCGAGGCAGCTTCAGGGGTATCGCTAACTCGGCCGTAGGTTTCAGTGCTTTTCCTCACTCTGCCCGAAGCCGAGTCGATAGGGGTATCTAAGGGTGGGGATTCCTTCTTCCTGTGCCACACTTTCTGTGAAAATCATCTTCTAATAGCGCTACCGTTCAGATCAGCTGGAACAGTACCGAGCCAACTGGTTCGATGCATCCGTCTTCTTCCTTCACGCTGCAGACTTCATCAGGAATCCCAGGTTGATCAACGTTCGAACCATCGTACTCTTGGGCGGCTCCTACGTGCACTTCGGCGAACTCAACATGTACTACGTCTTGTGGTCTTGTGCCGCCCGCATTTGCCACAGTCTCGGCCTTGATCAGAATATGAACGGAGGGATGTCGCTCGAAAGCCAATACCAAAGCCGCTTGTTCTGGTCGCTCATCGCAAATGACTGGTTAAATTTGCCGCTCGGGCATAGCTGTATCGATGAATTAGAATTCGCGGTCGATCAACCATTGGAGCTGGACGACGTCGAGGTTTCACTCGGCGTCAATCTAGAGGGATTCACCCCCGCTCTCCGTCCAGTACAGCACTTGATAGCGCTCTGCAAGCTTGCTTCGGTTCTTCGTCGGTTTCAAACCCGCCTTTTGAACGTCTTGGATGAGCCCGGAATTTCGGCAATCGTCATCGAGGCCAATGACCAGCTCACTGCCGTCATAACTCAGTTACCCGCCCATCTTCGATCACCTAGAGGATCCGTGGCATTCCATGCCGTCTGCGGCAGTGAGGAGGAGTGGGTGAGGTGGCAACGAAACAATATCAGGCTGTTGTGCAACTACTACCGTATCGTTATAAACCGCACGATCCAAGAGGACAAGGCCGGGGACAGAGCGCAGTACACAACAGCGATCAAACGCTGCCTCGATGCTGCCCATGAAATACACGACATAATCATAGAGATGGATTCGGATCCGCCTCGACATTTCATCTGGTGAGTAAAGAATAGCGCTGTGTTTGATTGGTGAATGTGCCGCGCATAGCAAACGAAAACTGAAATTCATCAGGTCTCGTATTCTCCCCGTGTTTGCGGCTGCAAATATTCTCTCCAAATCCGAGGCGTTCTGTGGATGTACCACATCGGAACACAGCGCCATGTTTAACAAATGCTTGAGCTTTGTTCAGTCCCTAAGCCCAGATAGTTCATTAGCGGGGCATGCGTTGCAAATCTTGAAGCATTACTTGGAGTAAACAACTTGAGCATATGTCGCAACGAAGAGGGCTATGGTTCTGAGTTACTTTGCGTCTAGTTCGACCTTCGCCTGTCCCAGTCTGTACTAAGGCAGCCCGAGCGAGCCTGAGAGCGTCCACCTCTTTGAAGACGCACGACTCCTCGATGGTGTGCATCCCGCCCTATGCGCAGTCAATGAAACTTGTCATGGCGAATGTGGCGTGTGCGTTCTAATCGTGAAAACGGACAGGACTACGCACTCGGCTTGAAGATATGACCATGTGCTTATAACCTGAGTTAACATAGAAAGAAGTGCTCAGAGAGGGCCGGTTGCTCAAGTGGACCTTCACGACCCCCACGCCTGCCACCGCGAGTCTTTTGACCTTGGCGGAGGTAAGATTCTGTGCGGCGCACTTCCTGAATCTAAACTTTACTCATCCGCACAGTTCAGTAGTTGGGCGGGATAGCATTCGGGGCTGTCGCAGTGTGCCAAAAACAACGTGGAAAGATCTGGTGTTTGATATTATCCACTCCACTCACGTCCATGGCCAAATTCACGCGGATGGAGAACTGCAACTAATGATAATTAATCTTTTGATTGAAAGATTCTTGTTCTATATTCATACATCGTAGAAGGTATATCCATGTCACAATCTAGACCCCAGATTACCCCAGCTCCTCCAGTAGCGTCGGCATCTTTTTCCCAAAAGATGGGCTGTAAGAAAAACAACAAAGGGAATCCTGATATCGCCAAACTTGGCTCCTGCACTCCGTCTTCACCTACACCCCTAGAGTCTCCAAAACTACGGCAGCATCGTCGGCGATGACCGCCCGGAACAACTGTCGTCGTCAACATACCCCTTCTCATTCGACGACTCCACATCGCTCTCCGTCGCCCAGCGGCCGGGACATCCGGGGATATCCCGCTCGTGCTCGCGGTACACCTTCTCCCTCTCGCCCTCCTCCTTGCGCTGCCTCAGGTTGAAGAACACCGACGCCCGCCTCGCGGCGCCACCCGTCTCCTGCTGCTGCGTCTGCTTCCGCTCCGGCACGTCGCCAATGTCGGGCATGCCCGCTTTCATCATCTTCTCCTCGTGCTCCTCCTCCTCCTTGGCGGCGTCGAACATGGCCTTCATCATGTCTGCCTTCTCGGGCGTGCGCACGGCGGCGTCGAACTCGAAGAAGGCCGGCTTGGCGATCAGCAGCGGCGTGTAGTCGTTCCAGTGCACGGGCACCTCGCTGCCGTCCGCGTTGCGCTTCTTGGTGATGTTGAGCGCCCACGCCATGCCGCCCATGATGAGGAAGAGGTCCTGGTCGACAATGGGCACACCCTGGCACGTCCTGCGACCGAAGCCGAACTGGCTGAAGCCGTCGAGGTTGGGGAAGCGGGTGAGGGGCTCCTTGAAGGTCGGGTACGACGGTTGCAGCCAGCGGTCGGGGTTGAATGTCTCGGGGTCGGGATACATAGACTCGTCGCGGGTGATGCCCCTTGATTGAGAATGTCTTGTTAGTTCGGTGGTCCGACGGGGAATGTCTTTGGTTTGTGGGAACTTACCATTCCAGAGCATGGATCGTGGCACCGGCAGGGATGAAGAAACCATTGTAGACGTCATCCTTCTCGACAGCGTGGGGGATGCCTGTAACGGCACGTCAGTCACACGAACCTAAAATCAGCCTTACGATGAAGGATCGCTGCACATACCAGTAGGAACAGGGGGTCTCCACCGGATAACCTCCTTGACGACGGCTCTCAGCATGGGCAGCTTTTCGCGGTCGCTCCATTGAGGACACCTGCCCTCGCAAACCTCGTCGATCTCGCGTTGAAGTCTGGCCTGCCATTCGGGATAATGTAACATGGCGAGCAGGAAGCTCTGGATAGGGCTGCCAATAGTGAGGGCGCCGGCGATGGCCATGAGGCCAACGACGTTGGTAGCCTCCTTCAGATCGCCCCATTTGCCCTTCTCCTTCTCGTCGCCGAGACCCTGGTTAACGAATGTGCTGATGAAGCTGGGCTGCGCGGTGCCCTTCTCGACCTGGTCAACGACGAAGTCGACGTTGCTCTTGAACTGCCGGGACTCGAGCTCGTGGCGGGCGCGCTCCTTCTTCTTCCATGGCGACAGGACATCCGGAACGTGCATCAGGAATGAGATAACGTTAGGGAGGGCACCGGAGGGAGAGATGGTTTCCAGCAGGCCAAAGGTCGTCTTGCGGAGGACGCGGGCCGGGTGGGCGGTTCCCCATGACAGACGGCTTACGGTACGGCTGGTGAACTGCTCAACGTACTCGCGATAATCGCTCGGGTTCTGGGAAAGAAGCCACAAGAAGCGATCGCGCTCACGGGTCGGGTAAGCGTGGAGCTCTTCCTTGTCGCTCTGGTTCATGAGATGATGGCAGAGTCTGCGCTGACGCTTCCATGTGTCTGCATGCTACTATTAGTGACTGACTTGCGGTAGCTGAGGAGTACTGCCTACCGGTGCGGCCAAGCAGGGCAAGGTAGTCGCCACTTGTCCTATTGTCAGGCAGGTTGGGGATCATGGGCCTGTCTGAGTAGATGACATTGCGGCGGCCGAGAAGGTCATGAGCGATCTGCTCCGAAGAGATCCAGACGTGGTAGGATCCGAACATCTCCTGCCCATAGATGGGGCCGTACTCCTTCGCCCACTCGTAGAACTTGAGCCATGTTGCCTCCGCCGGCACATCGTGTACACGACCAATCCAAGGAAGACCTGTCCACTGTGAGCATCATAGTCATCATCATCACCCATGAGGTAGCCTACCCTTGGGCCCAGGAAGGGGCTTAGCTCCCTCAGGAAGCCTCTTCTTCAGCTTGATGGCGGAGTATAGGCGCCATGCGCAGAAGACAATAAAGGCGAGAAGTGCCACGCCTATGGCCATCTTTGCTGGCCTTGAAGAAGAATTACACAATAAGAGTAAGTTGATGGTGGAAGTTTCGTCGGTCTATGCTTGATATGAAGAAAGGAAAGAGTAAACGACCTCACGAAAAAAGTCAGGGTAGGTCGAAGAGGCAAGAAAGGAATGGGTGAGTAAGGTCTCCCGCTGTTGCAGGAAGAACAGGAAAAGAGAAGAACCACGATGACGGTTCTGACGGACGGTGTGTCTCTGGGCTGTTAATAAGAAGAGTCAGGGCCACGTTCAAGCCGTCTGGTCGTTTGGAGCCCAAGCGGGCCGACGGAGAACGCTCAACGGTCCCTTTGTCTGGAAACATGATTGACCCGCGTGTGGACATCCACACACGCCGGATTGTCCCCAAGCGCCAAGGGCGAGGGTAGTGTGGTAGTCCACCCCCATTACGAATTACAAAGATCGGCGCACAGCTGCGTTGGCGGCGGCGGCGGGTGGGCGGGCGACGGCGGCGGCAACATGTCAATCAGGTCAGACCAGGTCAGGTCAGGCCAGGACCAGCGGTTCGTTGGACGCCACTATTCCGCCTTGGAAGCAACGACATGCGGTGAGGATGGAGGGGAGCCCAGAGTCTTGGTCCGTGGTGAGGGGATAATCCTGCCCAAGGTTTGCACAACGAGGACTTGCTGCGCTTGCATATCGGCCGTTGTGCTTGCTTGGCTTGTTCCCGGACATATGGTTCGTTGAGTTCTGACGTCGGGGACTGAGCTCCATCACAGGCAAACATCAGACACGCAGAGTTCGCCTCCAGAGACGGGGAGCTCCAGAGGTACAAGCCCCGAGAGCTTCCTAGGCTTGGGAGCTCACGGAATGCTAGCAAAGGCCGATGCCCGTCCTTGCAGGGCGTGTGGGAAGGCCATCATACCTCCCAGACCTCAGCAGGGTTTGACCTTGGCTCCTCTTGCCATTAGGGCCCAAGGAGATGGTTAGAATATGGGTTGATGGTAGGATGCGCGTTGCAGCCGCGGGAAGTCCAAAACACAGGGGTCAAAAGATTGGCCGAGTCGATATCTCTGGTCGGCGAAGAGGACACACCCATGCAAGCCATGCCACCTATCCCAAGGATCTCTTCGGCCTCCAAAGGGATCATCCTCGTCCCACTTGGTCTTGCCCACTGGGCATCTGAACCATATGCCCAGGCACCGTCCCTCAGGTAGAGCTACTGCGGTGGATGCCGGAGGTCGGGGCTCATCCGGTCTCGGCACAGACAAGGCGCCAGGTTGCCGGACAGAACAGTAGCTTGCAGCTAAAACCTTGGAGCGAGGCACAAAAAGGGAACATCATACTATCCGTCGCCTAAAATTGGCAAGATGGGCAGTTGGCACCGCGGTTTGGAAGCATTCTAGGCAAAAGCGTTGCCGCTAGGGCGCGTTTCTCTCCCTCCCTTCGCTTACGCCTTGCTCGGAGGTAAGATAGATAATGCGAAGGCTCACGCCATGATGATAGTGCTGATGCTGGTAATGCTGATGCCGAGCCCGCAATGTGCTCCGCACTGAAGGCATAAGGGCAGCGCAGGATGCGTCGGCAGATATTTGATGATGTGATGGGTTGGTGAGGTGTAATATCTCGGCGTCTGGGCAAGATGTCAGTCTCGGCTTCGTAGAATCAATACAGTCCCAAGGGGGAAAGATGGTGCTTGACAATGTTCCATTCGGTGGTTGGCAAGAAAAAGCAATCAGGGCGTCACGTAGTCATCGGAGTCTTGAAGCGTAGATTACTGGTGTCGATCAACTGCAAGCCACGGTGCGCGGAGGCGGCTCGCAGCCGGAGATGAGGAGCAACAAGCGTTGGCATATCGAGTGCGAGCCGTCCATCGTACTGGGCAGCCACTCAGAACTGCCCTGA